TCATAAGGCAGACATATAAATGTCTCAGACGCATTAGTGTATTAATTCCGATTTAATCTCCGAGTTATTGTAAAAAAGGAACTGCAATTTTTTTTAACATTTCAAAAAACGACTTTTATCTACATATTTAACGGTTTGATAAAAGTTTCGTGATCGAACGCGTTTTAGGCGCGAAAAAGCGCACGTCGCTATTATATTTTCCTTTAAACGGTGATATAACAGAATTGCTAGGTACTCACTCTTGTGCCTGGAGAATCTCCTGAGCCTCTTGAAGAACGGCATACTGTCTCTGTCCTGGAGTCCCGTTCCGATCGATCGACCGATCGATCAAGATCACCGATCACGAAGCGAGAATCGAGTAAAAACCGCCCTGGTCCACGAACAACCTCGAAATGCCGTTTATTCTAGATCGGAACCCGAGCAGAGCAGCAGCAGCCGCCTCTCTCGACTCTCTGAGGCTTCGTCTGCCTTGTTGCTCCTACTCGTTCGAGTCTCCGCTTCTCTTTTCTCGCTGGACTCGCGTACGTACAACGCGTTTCCACTTATCCCTACTACATATCGGCTTTTACGAGGCGCACGAGCTCTCGACGCGGTATTGCCGATCGTCGCGGTTCTATCCGATTCGATTCACGAGTAAGTAAATTGGGCGGAAACACCGTTTCTGTAATAGACGAATTATACGTTTGGAATTGAATCGAGCAATAATATTAAGAAAAACTAATCGTTTTTGTGTAAATACAAATGACAGAAATGCTCCAAGCAGAGACCACACGGGATTTCGCCGCGAGTAGATATGTAGAACAGTTGCTGGATTTCCCGTTTCACGTAAAGGCTAGCCAAGATGGAACTTGAATTTCCATTGTATAAGGGGCGGGTGTAATTCAATAGTGGCTAATGGACCATGAGCGCAGCACCATCGGTAATCTCATTTCGGTGTCTATTGTAGCTTACATTTCGCGGCCATAGAACTGCATTTGCACAGACACACACACACACACACACACACCACTGCAACCGTCTCTGCGTGACTTACGAAAAAATTAATTGACCGGATCTTATGGTGTGTACCGACCTATTAATTACAAAGCGATTCAACCTGTTTGCGGTACAAGTGTCCTATTTTTTTATTGAGAAAGAAAACAAAAAAGAGGGAATAGGCGTACATGAATGAAACATGGTAACAAATTTCAATTGTAAAAAACTCGAACAGAACTTGAAAAAAGTAGGGAATCTCATATTCTCTATCTTCTTTCTCTAGTTCTTGGCAAAGTATTTTTTTTTTCCAGAGTCTGAACTCCGTTTCGAAACGAAAATATCGTATTTTCAATGCGTCTATTGTCACGTCGCGGTATCTTCGTACAATCGAGTTGACGAAAGTTTTGCAAGAGTTTCGATGAAAATTCGGGTCGATGAGAAGCATTAGCATCGAAGGGTATCGAAATTGCCGCGGTCCAATATTAAAGTCGTCGTTGCGAGGCGAAGGGTTACGAAAAGTTTCGCGATTCAATTTCGAGGATCGATGCGTCGCCGAGGATCACCCGAGATTTGTGCGAGAACTTTCTTTAATACCCATACGCATTCGCGATAAAGTCCTTTTTTGCGTCCCAAAAAAAGATGCGCGATTTATGTCTCGAACTTACTTCCCTGAAATACGGCTATGAGTTCGAATCGAAGGTTTCCTTTTCTTTTTTGTGTCGACGCTGAGAACGAGCTGGAGGTAGCTGGAGGGTGGGAATGCTCGAAAATTCATAAAACTCGTTGTTTCCTCTTTTCGTCGAACGTACCGTACGCCGGGAGTTCAACGTTCCCGGGAAATGCTCGTTTCCCTCGCTCGAAATTCGGTAATTTTCAACTTTCCTTTTGCACGGACAGAACTTCACCGTTCCGAGGCAAGCGGATGAGATCGATCTTCCTGCGTATCTTCTGGCCCTTGCGCATCTTTACACGATAAGGCTTTCGATCCGGGCATAAATTAGCCTTAATCCGTTGAAATACGCGGCCGTCCGGTATCCGCTCCCGTGAGAGTTCAGATTTTTCTCATCGGAGTTTCATCGAGGCGTTAGAAGAGTCACGAGACGGTTTCCGACCTCGACGGAATAATAGGTGGCTTAATCGAAGTGGCTTAAACTTTGCCCCTTCCTTGCGAGGGGGAGACCGCGAATTTTAATCGGGAATCGCGTCAAGAAGTTCGGTCACCCTCCAACTTTCAACTACCTTACCCTCCCTAAAACTTGACTCCGCCGGCTTGCGAATATATTATTGTCGATCCACCTGCTTGCCAAACTGCGCGATTAATTCCGAGCTACTACTCGCACGATACCGGCAGCGATAAAAGTTTCCCCTCGTCGTGTCGAGTCAGTTTGATTAATTAATCAGTAGAGGAACGACAGTATATTTACTTCTACTTCTCGAATTTCGAGGGGAACGAGTTTCACGTTTTTCATAAATCACGTTATATTACACGTATAAAATTGTTCTTAGGAAGTACCAACTGAACGTTCGTTTAAATGGATTTAAAAATTAATTCGACCGGAATAGGTTACGAGACTTCCCGGAGCTGAGCGAATCCGCTGACGAACCAAGTTTCCTCACGTAATCTAATCAAGGTTTTCTACCAATTATGTTCATTCCCTTCACGACAATTCAGTTTCCTTTCCCTTGTTGCTCGTTCCGCTCGACTGCTACTCACCGCGAATCGTACTCTCCAAGGTAAACGAATCGAACCGGGAATGGGGTTTGGGAAGCTCTCGTCGAGACAACCTGGAGAACGTTTACAAGTCGCCATCAGAACGTACAATACTTTTCTCCGATACTTTTCCGCTCCTTTCCGTTTCTACGTTTACCGTTTCTTCGAAAACAGCTGTAACGATTTTCTTCCCATTGACGCTTAAAACATTAGATGTGGAACAAGATCTGAAATCTATGAATTATTCATACAGGATGTTAAAAAAAAACCGTTCAATATTTATATGATATGTATATAGGATGCACTGTACTCAGTAAAAAGGTTTAGTAAACATAGGTCGTAAGGTCAACCGTTCCTGAGGTATAATTCGTATTAAAGTATTTTTCCATTCGATTTCTTTGCATGTTCACCTTCAGGCTCTTGAATAAGGATCGAGAGTTTGCTGGGTGAAAATCTCGTACAAATTTGTTTTACTAAATTTTTTTTGGCACGGTTTTCGCCTGTCTACTAGGTGGAAGTGAAGTGATAGAACATTGCTGGTTCTGGTTTATGTACAAATGTATTTAATTGAAAAAGTTAGAAACGAAAGTAGAGGCGAACGATTGAAATTACGTAACGAGGGGATGAAACGCATTCAACTATTTCGGAATATTGGCAGGTAGCGGCTGCGCAGAGTGTTCGCCGGATTCGAAATTTCCTCGACATTGCGTAATTGAACAGTATGCGTCGCGTCCGCAAACCTACCGGAACGCGTCCACCTTCGCCATAAATCAGGACCTAATCGACGTTTTAACCGCAACCACGAATACGTACTACGGTGCTACGGTTCCGTTGAATAATTCCGCCCATCCTAGCCAACGTTATATCTCGGACACTGTACGTTGACTTATGAAGTTCATAAAGGAACTTTTTTGAACACCTTCAACTGAGATGAACGTTCTTTCTAGTCATATTCTTTGAAATATTGAAAATAAGACTGAACTTCTCTAACTTTCTATGTGTTACGATATTTGCCTAACGAGGTCCGGGAAGAGGAATGGGTTTTGAAATAAAATGGAGTTTGATGTCGTTTAAACTCTCGTTTATTAAAAAAAAAGCTTTTTCTTTGACGGGGGAGGAGGTGTGAAACCTTTCGAAAGTAGTCCGACGCCTCCCTGGAACCGATGTCTAGCATCGTCGTTTCATCACTGACGACCTCTTAAAAAGACGTCAAAGGTTGTCGTTTTTATTTAAGTGCAACGTGCGATTACACGAAAATTCTCTCTGTCTTTTCATTATCATTACATGATTGCATGTCCAGTGCGAGCGTACGCTAACTCGCTTTCTTATTGTTACTTTGTTTGTTTTAAAAAGGCCGATCATTCTTTTGGATTTTTCAACCAGTTTTCTACTCGATACATTCGATTTACCGATATCTCGATTTCAAACGGAGGTCACGCGCGAACTTGTCACGAGTATGCGATTTCAAAGCCGGGTAATGTACTGCACCTTCTATCTCATTTTTTAACACTATCTTTGTCACGAAATGAAATATTTTCTCCTTGGAAAAAACGAAAATCAAATGGTTCTCTACTACGGCAGCGTAGCAATCGCGTTCCTATGGTGCAATATTGGTTCCAGCACGTCGACATCGCACATTCAAATGTTCCTTTCGTACCTGGGGGTGGTTGCCTGACTGCCTACCTGCCAGCTTGTCTGTCTGGCTGCCTATCCGTCTGCCTGGAACCACCCCTCCGCGTCTTCGAAGATTACGTTCAAATGGAACGCATTCCTACGAACTACATTCTCTCAGGCATGTCCCGGTTCGTCCGCGAACAATTTTCAAATACCGTCATGCGCGTGTTAGAGGAAATACCTTAGACTTTACAACGTACAGTTATGTCGGGCCGGGATAACAAATGGGATGAAATAACAGACAACGAATGTCATTCATAGGGTTTCATATGCAATTTTATTATACGTGCATATGAAAGAATGTAGATTTCAGAATTGGATGATCAAATGAATAATAGATGGACTCTTATTATTTTATTGTGACTTTATAAGAAATTGAAGATTGATTGAGCTGTAGTAGCTGTGTAATCGATAAAGACTCACAATCAGATGGAGATTAATAATTTAAAAAACCGATAAACACATTAAGTCATATTTATTTACTCGAAAAGTGTATATTCTATCATTTTTTGTGTTACTTGTATAAAAGTGTCAAATGGCATTTAATGAAACTTGTCCTTTGATATTTAAAAATGCCTCTTTTCGAATTTTCCCCTTTGTCGACAGAAATATACTTGAATTTTAAATACTATCTCGAGACTCCAGATAGCGCAGTATCGCGCAATCGGATTGCGTATCACTGTTGTATTAGGAACGTAAATCATATAAAGCAATAATACAAATAATTGTTGACAAGAATTTGTATTATAGAAAGTTCCGACTGATCGTCGAAAGCTTGTGACATTAAAAGAGAGTAACGATCAGTGTCAAACGCATGTTTGTGTGATCTTAACCTCAACGTAACCTATACGATATCTTTCGGTGATCACTATTCCGAGAAGATGGCAAGTTGTTCGAACGTTCTCCTAACAATTACTCGCGGTCATAAAAACTATACGAAAACATGGCTGAAGGATGCTGTCAGATATGAGAAAGTGAAATATCATCCACGGTGAGAGGACAGATACTGTAGTCCTACTAGTTTGAAAGGGCGTTATTTACAAAGAGAATGTTGCTATTTCAGCACACCAGATCACGTAGATCCTCCATTCACACCATCAAAAGTTTTAATGATTGTTAGAGTAAAGCCTTTCAAGGGCAATCCATGGTGGAACAAAATCATACTTAAAAAATATGGACTCAAAGAGGAAGTAAGGATTTCAGTTCAAACATGAAACAGGTTGTAAAATTTACAATTTGTGTCCGACATGCAAAATTATACTTCTTGTAGGGGAGAGAACCAGCATTTGTAAAGAATACCCCAGAAGCGTGTGCTGAACTTTGGACAATAAAACATTTGATAAAGATCGTCCCTTTGAAATTGCCTGAGAAGTTACCAGAGATCGATGATATGACAGAATATTACGTGCATGAGGATGGATCGATCCATGTAACCGGAAAACTTGACCCGGTACGTTACAAAGCGACACAAGATTATCTTACTTCTCCAAAGAGAATGGCGATGGCCGATATCAGCGAAAAGCTTAGGCTATTGTGGTTGAAAGGTGGCCTTATATAAAAGAAACATCGACATAAATTCATTACATCTCGTACTTGTAAATTATATTTAGGGAATAAAGAAATAGCGATTGAACAAATAATATACTTTATTTGTATATTGATTACAGCCGTTAACGGCTATGTTACAACCTACCAACAGTAATGTTAAAATTTCAGTATTTTTTACAATTTTTTATATTTTTGTCGTTATCGTATTATTCGAGCAAATATCTATTCGGTGGAAGATGAGTGCCGCTTTGGGTCAGTCGTGCGGACCTACATACTTATACGTTATACGGTGTTCCAAAAAATGAAACAAATTATCGTCTAAGTATTAATGAGCGAGACTAGATCGACGAGCAGTCTTGCGCGGTAAACGAAACGGTATCTTAAACGTAGATTCTCATAGACGCTCCACTAGGCCGTTTTTAAATCTCACGAAATTAGACCGTTCTTCTTTTTCCAAAAATTTAAGAAGCACGCTACGATCGTGAACGCGACGCCCGCGTTCTCTTTACTCTTTAATCGACTAACCGTCCATCGACAAAAGTACTGACTTACTTTTAAATCTTCTTTTACGAGACGAAGAAATATAATCTAGACTCGAAGTCGTAAACCTAATTTTGTATTGTTACGCTAGAGTCCTATGAAAAACAAGTCTCGACTTGTAGGTGCTTAAGTAGAATTCACAAAAACTTTGATAACTCGAATACTTGGAAATTCTAATAAGTAACAAAGAAACGGTCGTTATCTCCACTGCTTGTCGCCTTCGTTCCTCCTCCCATGTCACGTCCTCGTATGTTACGTTTAAGAGGAATTAGTTCGTCTACGACTCCGCAGTTTCCAAAATCGTCTGTCTCTGGACGTATGGTGAATAGAAATGGTATTTTGTGCTTTAGATCCCTTCTCGGGCATGTACATCCTCAAGAGTCTCGCGGCTCGTTCCTCCTGCGACCTGTCCGCGGACCTTCCGCTCAAGAAGCTCAGCAGTTTCATACTACGTCGCTTTATTCTCAACCGATTTAAAAAATTCTTTTCCGTCGAAGGACTGCCGTCGTTCTGATCGTCCGCATCCTCTTCGAGCTTTTTCGATTTTCGTTGAAACAGTTGTATACGTCTCCGTCGATCGTCATTTTTCCGATTGTAACGGCGACCCCTAACGTCACCGAATTCCGACGAATACTCTTCTCTCCTGGCTTGTTCCGCGCCCATCCTCTCGGCGTTCCTGCTGCTGGTCTCCTCCGCTCTCTGCGCGACCAACTCCAGTTCCCTTAAACGGTCCGCCTCGTTCGAAATGTTCCCTCCGTCCGAGGTGTTCCTCGTGTCTTCCACGTCCGATAGTTTCCTGTGAAGATTGACTATCTTCCTGCGGAAATCCTCGTCCTCCTGGCTCAGCCTGGCGAACGCACGATCCCTGTCGTTCGCATCGGAACTTGAGCCGACGCTCTTCGACGTCGCCGTTTGAAACCGTTGTCACCACCATCCGACCTGATCCTTCGCGCCACCAGACGTGTCCTCCTCTTCCGGGAGCGGTTCTAATCTCTGCCTGCCTAGAAAACACCTCAACGAGCTGAGGCTTCCGCTCCCGAGCAGCTGCTCCATGTTCAATTCCGGTAGATTGCAGTCCTCGTTCTCGGATTCCTGATCGGCGTCGTCGTCCGCCGACAGATTGAGACCGTAGTTATCCTCGCCGGACGCGACTGCACCGTTTGGCGGCGGCTAGGGAAGTCAGGCAGTTCAGCTCGGCTAGTGATTCTTTGCAAACAAAGGGCAAGCATTGTCATGCAGAGGCGTGCGAAGCTTATCAAACTAACATTCTTTCTTTTTACCGAATTACGAGATATTGTGGGGATTCGAAGTTGGAAGTTGCAGCTCGTGTTTAACGGATTAGTGGAGCAAGCTTTTTATATCGAGCGAGCGCGAGAATTCTGTCGCTTTTGCTATGTGATATATTATGTCGTGATCCTGTTAGAAGTATTCGCCTACGTGTTACAATCGGAAAAGTACTTCATATTCGTATATCGTACGATTCAACAGAAATTTCGCACTCACCCGATAGAAGCCAAGAAATTGACGAAATAAGCAATTCTGCCAAAAGGAAGAGAGACTATCGACGCATTTTTTAATAGGATCCGGGAACCTTCTCTTTGGACACTATTTATCGTACTGTCACGGAAGAAATAAGACGATTACCGAGCTGGCGGTGAAACTCTCGTCGTCGGGGCCACCGGAGGTCGGGGTTCCCCAGATATCGTCCCCGGACGTGGCACCGGAGGTCGTACCCTCCTCGTCGTTCGGGTCCAACGAGAACTCCGTTCTCTCCGGTGGTACCGGCGGTTGTAGGAGGTATCCACTCACGCCTTCCCCGAGCTGCTCGAGCAAGGCCATTTTGCTGACTACGTAACTACTCGCCCTCGCGGTCCACGCTCTTAAACCCGTCGGCGGCGACTCGGAATCCCGATTCTCGTCCTCCCCCTGTTCCTCCAGTTCGTCGTCTTGATCCAGACTACTCATCGTCCCGAATCTCCTCAAAGCCCTGAAATAGTGCAGCCATTGTAACAAGGGATAAAACTCCTGTTTAGATCTTGTTATGAACAACTTTGCCTTGTACATATGCGTGTTGATCGACCTCCAACAACATATTTCAAAATCAAGCTGGTCTGAATCCCCCCCTCCCAGAAAGAACCAAGACGAAGCTGTACAACGAACTCAAGGAAAATATCATTTTTCTTACAAGAATCAGTATATGATACTACGATCAGACGATATTCAAGTGTTACCTGTACGGTGGTTCACCATCGCAGTCAAGATCGTCCTCGCTCCCGTCTTCCGTGTTCCCATCGGCCGGAGTATAGCCTGGACTATTCCTACCGGGGCTGTCATGCGGTCCGTTCCTCAGTCTATGCCTGGTGCAAAAATCGGGCGTTGGTGGTACCACCGAAATTTTTGGTGGCAGTGGAGAAAACGGGTCCCTCGTCAAAGGAGGCGTTGGACAACCTGATCTACAGAATTACGAACACTTTGTACAATTTACCGGTTTGATTATTCGTGACTAAATATTGATACTGTATCATTAAGCCGACAAGTTTCATGACAGAATATTTTGAATATTTTTACCTGTGACACCTTCTGCAAATGTTTATCGACCCTGTAGAATTCTCCTTGGAAGACGAGAGGCTGCCGTTCTTCTTTGCGATTACGCTGTTCGATTTCACGGTGCTCAGACTCGCGCTAGATGCAGTACTCTGTTGTTCTATGTCGGAGCCGAGCACTTCCGTTTGCCCGTCCTCCGTTTGCGCGTTCTGTTCCTGATTCGACTCGTTCCCAGTTTCCTTCGGTGCCCTCGCAGCCAATTCCTCGGCCGTCCACTCCTCTATCGGTACTTCTTCGTGATCCGGGGGCGGTATTTGATGAGAGTTCCTCACCCACTGGGCGAGATGATTGTTCTCCCTCGAACTCTTGATGATAGTATCGATGCTCTCTGCAGAGCGCGATTCTTTTTCCTCGTCCTGTTTCCGCGACTCCGTGGTCGTCTGTCGCATCAAGAATCATTACAGATAGAAATTCCTACGAAACGTTTCAATTGTTTGAGGCTGCATCGTTTACCTGCGAACTCTCTGTCGGTTCCCTGACTGTGGCCGTGATGAAATTATTACCAGCTACCGGACTCTCTTCCGGGCTGTCTTGACTCGGTGTTCCCCCATAGCCTGTATTCACATAGATTCTAAAATGTAAGGAATTAGTGTAGACAAACGAAACTGCGATTGTCAGATGCTCATTGTTAAAGTTTCGTCAAGAACTGAACCTGGTACGATCAGAAAGTTGAACACAGCCAGGTGTTCATGTTCTCTGATCAAATTAAAAAGAGCGATAAATATGTTCAATCGTTGAGAAAATTCAGACGACATGACTTTTGGCTGAAGGAAATTGTACCAAATCAGAATCCCGCGAAACCTGATTCATCGGCTACTTACATTTGCCTCTGAAGAAGGTTGTGCCAAACGGCTTTCAATTCCGGAGTGGGTGCGCGCAGCACCAACAATCGTCTCCTTGGCCGACTGTGCGGACTGCAGCCACCGCTGTTGGTCACCTCGATGTGACCGTTCTCCGTGTTTCGGTTCGGATTTATAGCGATCTGTAATCGAAACTCCGTAGGCCTTTTGCGGACGGTAAAGCAAGCTTCGGCGATGTTCGACAGTCGCAAAGGCTCCTCCGTGACGAACAGCACGCGGTCCCGAGAGACGCGCGCGAAAACGAGTAGGTCGGTGAGAAGCAGAGCCCAGGTAGGTTGAAGCCGGGCCCGACCTTCCACTTTTGCTAACGCTCCTCCGAAAAGCCTGAAATGGCACGCTATCTATTGACACGCTGCCAATGATCGCGTTCGCTTGTTCGATACTCCCCGCGAGCATCAAGATACAATAAATAAACTAATCATTAGATCGACATTGAACATCTTAAAACGCGTATCCATATCATAGTACTTATATCAGATCCTCTTGTATCCGCGTATTGCTACGAGCATTGATATCCCAAGAATCTGAAATAATATTTTGATACATACACTGATTAGAAATTATTTGATATTTCGCATATGTGTTTATCTGTTAAAATCATTGAGCATGTATGCAAGTATAAGAATATAATTAATATACCGAAACCTGTGAACAGAAGAATAGGCACGAATACGCATACAACAGTAATAAGTAACAATGACTAGAGAACGTTGATACGATACGAGGATTAGATACAAGTGGGTATGCAGCTTTAAATCAACTGTAACACTGATAATAATCATTGCGCACTACATATTATTATAAATTATTATACTATTCTATTTCTATGCTATACTAAACTATGCTGTTCTAAAACGAATCGTTGTATTTTCTCATTAAATATTGTCTCATCGTGAAAGAATAGTGATTCGCACTATGTATCTTTTTGTTGCGGGGTGTAATCGAACCGAGACGCACCATTGTCTACCGGGCATGGCCAGAGTGAACGGTTTGCATCTCGCGAAGACCAAACGGGACTCGACCTCCTGCAGACTGAGCAGAGGCCTTCCGGTGTCGCGGGGCGGTTCCATGACACCAGCGTTGGCAGTCGCTTCCCTGTAACCCTGTGCCAAGTCTCGGGCTTGTTGGCAATTCCGTGGAGATGCCAAACCCAACAGTCTCGTCATCTCTCTAAAGATCGTGAACGACACTCGTTGTAGCAATCGATGCACTACTTCTATAATTAGTGCAACTGATTCTATTCATTTATTGTACTATCAATCTTTTTAGTAATTGTTCCCCATTCCGTTATTATATTATTTACTAGAGGGGCTCTCCTGGTCACCTACGGCGGCTATCCATATAAAATATGACCGATTTTAGCTCATTTATTTCTCAATCATCAAGGAAATTAAAATTCGTAGTGTTTTAAACTTGGATATTACAAAAAAGGTTTCAACAAAATTAATAATGACTTCAGTTTAACGCGTTTAAAAATACATCGTATGTAACGTAACTCATTTTATCTTCTTTAATCAAAGTATCAGTTATCGTGATACAGTCGGCTTAGGTCGTGATTCTATTAATATTTTATAGAATCACCCGAAGTGGTACGTTGATAGGTTTTTGATACATCGTTAGATTGATAGAAATTGATAACAGGTACGATAAGGTGCAATGCTTTTAAAAATTCAATTGTAAAACATACGTCGCCCGGTTTTAAAAAGGATGTCGTTAATTGCGAGTACGGGAACGCACCTGTAATGTTCTAGAGGTAAGAGCAACACGCCCGTAAGATCGGGCCGTCTCTTGTGGGGAACGGCAGGTTCGCAGACGAGTTTCGCGAACGCCGTGTTCCTTCTAAGAGCAACCAGCAGACAACAGGCGCGTTGTAACCCGCTCAGATATCTCCTGTAGGCCGCGGTGATCCTTGGTACCCTGCACAGGTAACTCTCGACCCCGCCGCCCTCGTCCCGGATCTCCTCGGAGATCTTCAGCAGCTCGTCCAAATTTTGGAACAGTATCATGTAATCCGCGGCGGAGAGAACGTCGCGTCTCTCGGCCAGCGGTGTCATGAAGCGCGTGTGACCGCTCTTCAGGATGCCCCAATAGCGCGTCTCGCGCACCGTCAATTCCTCTTCTGGCGGCGCGTCCGGCGCCAAATTCGGGAATATCTGAACCCGACCAGCAACCAAGTTTTGACACTTGATACTCATTTTTGTATAAATTATCAAATGTATGTTTCGTATCAAGGGTGCTTTAGCGTTCGATCTCGATCGAATCTGTTTTGTCAGCCAGTTTCGAATTTCACAGTCGTGCGATTCGAAGTACTAGAACGCGTTTAAACTAGCAAATGTCAGGACATTCGATTGAAACTTGAGCTCTCAGTGAAGCATACTATTACGTAGAATTTCCTAACTATGAGAATCACTTTTATAAATGCGCAATAAGCATGCAAATCACTGGTTCATTAAACTATACCTAAGATCGTCATGTCATTTAACTCATGCTCGTTGCGCAAATGACGGCAACATGAAATTCTTCAAATTATGCGTTTGAAGGGAGGAGGGTGAAATAAATGAAGAAAATGCGGCAGGTGGTTTTAAACAAAATTTGTTGAACAACAAAAAAGGCAATGAGACAACCGTCGAAATTACAAAAAACGTAACTGCATCATAACTTAATCTTGTCCGTTCGACAAGGGGAAACGGAACACGCGCTATACACTAATCACTAAGCGTTCACAATGAAATTAAATACGTACAGGAAAAATCACGGAAAATTAATGTACAAACAGAGGGAGAGTATCGCGCGACATTATTATTATAGTAATTACGTGCAACGAAACGAGGAAAATAAGCTCGAAAGAAAACGCATGCAACGCGTCGTGGATCGCAGAGAAACTTGTCGTTTCTAAATGGTAACGTCTCCGATCCGGGTTTAACGATTAGAAATCTTAAAGCTAGTTAATCTATCACGCTCTATCGGTAGGTTTCGGTCGGCACGGCGCGGACATAAATAAAAATTCGTTTTTTGATCCGTGATTGGCCATCGAATCGATACAACTCGACAAGTTCAAAATTTGTATCATAAACGTGTCAGTATAATCTAATTATTTAAATCGATTGACGAAGATTTGCTTCTACTCTAATCTCAAAATCCGTTTACCTATCAACTTTTTTATCTATTTCATAATTGCGTTCAAACCAATTTATTCGTTCGTGAAAGTGAAATTTGTTCCTCAAACTTTAAATAAACTATGAGTGAATTACTTTATTGAAACATTTTGCATACAATACTTCTTTCTATATTTGTAAAACATTTTTATTAAACTGCATATCGCAATTTAAATTGAAAACCGTTTTATGAATCCGTTTGCTTGTTTCGATAAATGAAAAACCGATGAGTCGACTTCGATTTGAAAACATGCATATTCGATCGATCGTTCTATTATTGGTATCGATCCGATTGCTATCCTTCAGAACTCGTCCGATTCTAAAGAAAAAAATCGGACCGGATCGGATCAGACGAGGACACCCGTACCGACCTCAGCGTTAAACGCGACATGATGTCCGCCAGCGTTCGGTTGCTGCAGGCTGACGTTCATCGAACTTGGCCGATGTAACGACGAGTGAACGTTCCCCTTTCGGTAGACCTCGAGGATCAGCTGATTAGTGGCCGCCTGGATAAGGCCGAGGATCTCTTCCCGCGATCGGGTGACTACGTTGGTCGTGTCGACGAACACCACGTAGTCACCTGGCCTCAGGCCGGACCGCTCCGCAGGGCTCGACGGGTCCACGCGTTCCACGCGGGGCGGCCTTCCCCAGGACAACGAGAATCCCCATGGGACCTGAAGCAGCAATGAAGAAAGTCCTATAAAAATGTAACATGGAACGAGGAGAGGGCGAGATCGTCGGGAGGGCTTTGGATACGTCAGGGGGTCCCCGACGGAGCACGGCACGAGACTCGTTTCGTCAGTCTCGATGACAAGGTAGACACGTCTTTAAGGGCGGTCTGCTTTTTAACACCTGCGATCGGACTTCCTACTGCTACGGTCCTAAGTGGACCCCCTGTAATTTCGTCGAGGCAATTGCGCGAAACGAGCTCGATTTTCGCTACTCAATTGGTTTACAGCTTATTGCGGTGGATAGAAGACGACAAAGGAATTCTTTACATCGTAGAAAGCTAATTGTAGTTCTTTGCAATTTAAATGCTCATCCAACTAATAACCAGACTTCCAATTTTATGCATTTACACAGAAATTGAATGCATAAATAATGGACGCATTTGCAAAAATGCACATTACGATTTTTTAGGAGTAAATTGCAATGTAGATTTAATTTTTTAATTTTTTAATTTACATCAGAAATGTTTGATTATGCGCAGAGAATCGTAGTCTATTGATAACTAATGGAGAAGAGAATAAAGAAGCGACAAACCTGATTAGCTGCAGTTTGCCGTATCAGCCTTCTCGTAATGGTGCAGGGTGTTCTGCCACCTCTGGCGGTGAAGCCTGGATGCAGGGGCAGCCCGGTCAGAGGATCGAGAGGCTCTAATTCTAGATGCCTCAGATACGTCAGGTCCTCCGCACCTGAGTTATTATTATCTGGATCTCCGTCCTTGGACAACGGCGGAGAGATACCGCAGTCCTGTGGTAAACCTACATACGGCGTACTCGTGTTCCGACCGGTTCCTGCTTCTAGCGGGTGCCATGTCGCTTCCTGAAAGTTCACCAGGTCTTCGTTAAGAGCGTCTTCCTCCTCGAAACCACTGTACACGCGTTTCAATTCGAATTTAGTTGAAAATCGAATTTTCATTTTGAATTCCCCATTGAAAATTCATGCTACGTTTGACCGGCTGGTCAAATCGTTTTAGCCAACTGATCGTAGCGGCGAAGATTATTTCGACGGTCACCGCATTTTCTTATCAACAGAAATAGAATATCTTCAATAAGATCCCGACTACCAGGAAGACCACACAGTAAATAGCAACCACAATCATTCTCTCGTCTAGCGATTCTCGTTCGTAGTGAGAATACGTCGACAAACGACACCCCGAGGACACACGGCCCTACCACCTTTTAACGGGGTCAAAACGCGAGTGAATCTTCTTCCACCCGGTAATGTTTCGCTTGCCTGCACCCGTAACGAGCTTAGCCCTGACCTTAAGCCGAGAAGACTTACAAATCCTGGCTGAAAAGTTTGGCGGCTCCTATTCACGTAATGCTATCTGAGGGGAAATATATCGAATGTAATTCTATTTGATTCTGTTTCAAATTAAAGATCAATAAAATTCTGTTTACCGGAGATTTAATATAATTTTAATTTGGCGTCGAGTTAGAATCGTATTGAATTTTTACTGTAAAACAATCATATTGAAAAATGAGAATTATTTTATAAATATCTTTGTATGAAATGCTCCTCAGAAATAGCATTCCAAATAATCGAGGTGATGTGTCTTTCTTAAATTTGTCTCACGTATCTGTCCTCGTTAAGAAAATGTTATTACACGTCGACACGCTTTATCCGAGATCGAAGATTTTATCCTCTCGCAAAAGCGGTTTTTATCGCGTAATTGAATCATCCCATAAATGTCGATGCCCTTTGATAAGTAAGACGATTATAAAGATCGTCTATTTTAATCCACTCTGTTGGTTCACGTTTAACTGTTTTACAAGTATTTGAGGTATTTATGGGATTGACCGATACCCACGGAAAAGTAAATGTGCATATATTTACCTTGTCTTGTGACAGGGGTAGAGGGAGAGTCATGCAGCCCAATAGCTCGCTACGTCTGAAACAGGAGAAAAACGAAAGGGTGCATAAATCTTGGTTAAACGTACGCGCGTGTATCAGTGTTATTGCACCGCCGTGCCTGTGTCGGTGAACGTCAAGCAGTTATATAGCACGTCTGTCCAATCAGGCAATTTATTTCTTTATCGTGTGGCATAACTCGCATTTCATTTATCACAGCGTAAAGTCGTGGTAGCAGGAATTTACGCACAAGCTTCAATTAAAACATATCACAGTAACTATTCATTTAAGGTGAAAGCACCAACAGCTGACCAGCTGAGAGAAATATTTTCTGCTCTACAAACTGCTTCCTCCTTTATTAAATAGTGAGTTGTTATCCGTGAAAATACTTGGAACTTTACTAGATTATGTAATAAAGCTAACTTTTCTGAAATAGTTAATCACGTTGCACAAACAGTTTTGAAAATTCAAGAGGTCAGAAATTGATCGTTCTTGGAAGTGAGAAAACTAGTAATTGACCGTACGTTAGTCTTAGTAGTCGATCACTTATATTACCAAAACCAGAACGAATTATAGAATCAAAAACGCTAAAATCGATTATTTTCATATCGTTTATTTGCAACTATTAAGACAAATTAGAAATAGAAAGACAAATACAAATAAAAATACATTGATTCTATAATATGTACAAAACTACTTGAGAAGCAGAGTAGTTTCAAGTTTTGCTCACTCAGCAGCTACATTTTCCCATTCGTAATCTAATATGTCAAAAGTCTTGAAAATCTAATTTTCGTTTTCCGCAAGTGGTCAACTACGGATACAACGTCAATTATTGATGCCTTTACCTTCTTCGACACACGAGAAGAAAGTTAGGAACAACAGTGACGTACGAGGGTACTTCACTTAACGCTTGCGTTTCTACGCGAACCAAAACTTTTACCGAAAGCTCGTGACATTTGTTGCAACCGACAATAAGCGTGGGGGCACTGCATCGGATCGTATCGGCGAGCGTAACGGTGTTGACGAGCGTGTATACGTCAGTCGGGTGCACTGTAACGCTTCTCTCTCGTACGTACACAGAGACAACTTAAAACTATTTACACGACGAACGGAGGGAAAAGGTAGACGGTTTCGGTGTGCCGTTGCGGAGTGCACGTGGCAAGCACGATGCGCATGCTTCCTAGAAATCGATTCCCCTCCCGCTGCGAGGAATCCGCGTATAGCCCAGAAATTCGTTTCGGCATTCGGATGGACCGTCGCGTTGCCTCGATGAAAACTACCTCGCGCAAGATAATCCCGAGTCGACCGTGCGGTGGCTCATCGACCTTGTCATTCGCCTATCCACTCGCCGAACGATTCGAGAATTCCGTTTCTTAGACATCGGCAAATCCTGCTCGAACAAGCAACGCTTTCGAATCGCGAGGACTACGAGGGGTTGCTGAGAATATCGGAAGCGCGGTTGGCTGGCTCGCTCGTCTCGAGCTAACGAGACGTAGTTCTTGACCCCGATATCTTTCCCTCGGAGACAGCGCCTACTTCTCCATTCTTTCATCGTGAAACAATATAACGGATACACAACCATCCACCCTTATTTGTTTCCGATACAAAAACGAATCTATAACGTGTAGCTTCTGTTATCTCCGATTATCCAATCGTTCCCTCGTGTTCATTGATACTCGTTCGTTAACGAATTGAAAAATGCAAACGGAATGGATTTCCTGAAGTTCTAACGTGTACGTTTGGGAACATTCGCAGGTTGCACGCGAGCGAACGCGGCTCGCGTGAGATTAATATCTCGTCCCATGTACGAAGCGGCACCAAACAACTATGTATACTCGTTACCGAGTTAACTGACTATCATTCGGGTAGGTGTTATCGGATGTTCGAATAGCACGAAAGGGAACGTTGAGGGTAGATTTGAGAAGAAGGCCTCGCGTGTCTACGGCGCGGCGAATCGTTCCGATCCGGGTCGAACACGTTTCCAACGTCCGGGACAGAAGCTTCTCTCGCTTCCAGCCTCCCTTATTCGTGATACTGACTTTTACTCGATTACGGGTAAACGTACAAGAGATTACCGATGTTTGCTTCGAAGCCTTTCTTCTCGTTTCAGTACTAATACCCAGACATGTGTTTTTTGCTAAGTAGCTTTACGAACACGCTATACAGATTTGTTCACGCGACTGGTGGTGTAAATTAATAAATACTCTCTGTATAAAATAAAAAATAAATTCGGGATTAATGTAACATAAACGTGTGTCTGGTTTACTAGAAATGAAATACACGTATTGTCTGAAAGATTCCAACACGGACGAGTCTGAGAAAGAGCGTATTTCTGCGGTGACTGTACTATACTATATTTTTTCGAGCACGCTCACCTTGCACGACGATCCCTGTGCCAAACCGCGATGTCCAGGGACGTGAGCTTGCTGGTGCAGTGATTGTTGTTCACCGGGCAGGGCAGTATCAAGGTCTCGTGAAAAACGGGATTCGGCGTGGCCCTGTGCACAGCCGTACGCTTCACCACCCCCTCGCCGTTCGTATTCTTCAAGCTCACCTTCACGTAAGCGTGGATGGGACCCTCGTACACCCTCCTCAGGTCCTTGCACCTTATCACTAAACGGAACAGAAAGACGACTTCGGGTCAGAACGCGTTTCTCCCCACGACTCTGACCACCTTCCCCATTTAGTCTGCCGTTGAACGAAAACACACGCTCGAAATGCGGAGGATACGCGATCGAGAAACCGACTCTCGAACGACGAGACAATCGGAGAGAGAGAGAGGGAGAGAGGGAGAGGGAGGAAGGGGAGGCAATCGAAGGATACGCTACGGTTACGTCTGACTGTTTCTCCGCACGCACTACTGACACCCCGGACGCCTGACCAATGCGGCACTCCTCCACTCGCTGCAACACGTTCACTTCCTATTCCTATGGATATACTCTACTGATTCGTTGTTCGAATAACTGAACAAAGAGATTCGTTCGCGACAGACGAACCGTGCCGAGATGCAATTTATCGACAGGCTCTGTGTTACTTCGCGTATATCTGTATGTACATTCCGATACTGCAGCTAGACACGTTCACCGGGAATGTTCCTCGACAAAAGAAATCGTTGGAACCGAACAAACTCCCGGGATGAACGAAATTTATCGACGGGGTCTCCGTCTCTCCCTCACTCGGAGAAAGGGGGGGTCGCCGAAGGCGAGGAACGTTCAAAGAGAACCGAGACCCGGAAGATAGATTTTTCCGAAGGGTTGTTTACGCAAGGACCTCGGTGTGTACCACCGAGAATCGATGGTTCCGAAGGTGGGCTTTACTAACCGGGAAAGCGATTCGCCAGAAGGGTCTGTGGGTTACTGGCACAATCGTGTATCGCGGGGTGCCAACTGAAACACCCCCTCTCGTGGCACGTAACTGGCGCATGCCTTTTCGCGACCGCTTTTCAGGGACGTCTTCCGATCCGACGAGACCCTCGCGAATTCTCGTTTTAACCAACCGCCTCGCGATCCGCAGGGGAATCGAACAGATTCGAATAAAAGACTGAACGGACATTTTCCTGTTTGCATTTACTTCCGAAAGATATACATCATACACCACGTAATCGTCATCATAAAGATCAAATATTAAATATGCATCAGAATAAATACTTTCATTTATGATAAATCATGCACGACGTTTTATAAAGGTCACCAATAGTTTGTGAATAATCAAACGATACGTTCGATGCTGTTATTTTCACACTTACCTCGGACGTGTATCTGATCGCCCGAAGGTTCAGACCGGACGAAATACTCGATCTCGATCGAACCGTGGCAGTTCGGTTTCGGTGGCTCGGACTCTGGACTGAATTTCAAGCACCTCCGAACGGTAGCAACCAGCGGCGTCTCGGGCGTGTTCGACATCGAAGTCAGAAACGACTTCGAGCTGTGAAAATCGTCTGTGATGGTCGACTTCGGACTTTCCAAATCCCAAGTATTGGTTCTCCTCGCGGTTTCCTCGTCCTTGCGGTCCTCGAACAACGCCTTCGGCTCGAACATACATTTCTCGTCGAGTGTGGTGTCTAAATCGGTCTCCAACGCGAGTTTTTTCACGTTCGGATTCACGGCTTCCACCAGGACGTCCAACGTTCCTAGCTTCTTCGTCTCAGTCGACGGGCTGTGACTAGACGAGCGTCTCTTGGCTCGTTTTCCGTCGAACGCCTTCTCGGTGTCTTTTCGGTGCCGTTTCCGCCGAATTCCTCGTTGCCGCTTTAACGTGAACTCGCCGTCGAAGTCGTCCGACGGTGAGGTGAACGGCCACGACATCGGAGAAGGATCCTCCAGCAGTTGGCTGGCCGAGGACACGGAGCTGTCGTTGTGACACGCGGCCTCCTCGTCCGCGATCTCCTCGATCGTCTCGTACGTATTATCCAGTTTAGGGAAATTCTCATCTTCACCGACCAACACCTTCTTCCTCTCCTCGATATCTCCCAAAAGGATCTCTGCCACCGTTTTCCCAGTAAAGTTCATCTCCTGCTCTCTGAAAGTACAAAACTCTTAAACCAATTCGGTTAAAACACCAAATCGTGTTTCTTAATCATTTGGACACGCGTTACAATAATAAATGTATACCAATATTAATTTATTTTCCGAAATTCTATAGTAAAATCGATAAGTGAAACACATTGATTAAAAAGGTCGTACGTGTACGTATGGCAATGATACAAATGGGTCAACGTCCCATTCGGGGATTACCTTGAACCGGATTCAAGGTAAAGCAGTCGCAGATTTTAGACCCCTCTTACCTGTTGAGGACCTCCGTGACAGTGTTGTCCATGTTCTCGAATTTCGGTAGATCTTGGTCGATGGCCAAATTGGACAGTTTTCCAGCCAGGGGCGTTTGACCGTGGCTTCTCCCTTTGAACGGGCTCGCGTTCGCTACGTTCTTAGTATGATACGGAGTTCTGCATCGCGCGTGGACCTTCGTGATCTTCGCCAATTTCGGTAGATAAGCTATTTTCGCGCAGTCGGTTAATTTGCTCTTTGCCTCGTTCCGCGTGAACAGTTTAGTGTTCGACAGCGGCACCGACTCGGCCTCCATCACGTCTTCCGGGCTGGTGGCCATGGATATCTGTTGAAAAAAGTCCGATACGTGCGATTGTAGATTAGCCCTGGCCTCGTTCACGATGTTTTGCGGCAGCTCGTTGTCGCTCTGGAAACTCTTCGCCCTAGTTTTCATAAAGAGCGCCGGATCCGTTGGCAGGGTCAACGCTGTCGAGCATTTACTGCCAGCCGGGAGCAACGTCAACGGGCCGATATCCGCGTCGACCCTGGGCGTGCTCTGATAGAAACTCTCTGTGACCGATGACTTGTCCGGCTGCTGTGACATCGACTGACGTTTGCTCACTCGCAGATTTGGTTTCGTCGCCTAAAGTGAATACATTTCTTTTCTCTTGATAATAATTAATCTTCCCTCGTTTCCACGTCTCTCTCTCTCTCTCTCTCTCTCTATACTTCTTGCAAAACGTATATTCGTTACGAAGACATCATTAAACATAGAATATTCAGGAATTGATAGTTACAAATGATCGTTTACTTTGCCAATGAATTTATTAATAATATATAAAAGTTTTGATCAATTATAAGAATTGATAAAGAAAAACAGGTTTACAGTGAAAATAGGAAAATTGATTTTTTTATCGTGTCTACAGTCGATTGATTTCCGTGGCCCTTTCGTATGCATAAATATTATATTTCGATTCGATACCTGGAAGTAAGTTCTCAAATCGCTCCCGTGACTTCTGCACCTTCTTCGGCGTGCTGGCGTTGTTCTAGCCGATACATTCTCGGCGTTCGGAGCAGGTATGCTCCGAGTTTTGGTTCCAGCAGCGGGAGGCGTATTAGATAGATCCCGAAAGGGCCTGCGGGATGCCTTGTTCATGCTGGCCGGACCGTGAGGCGTCGAGCCGCTTGCTGACAACGATCTCGAAACTGTCCACTTCAGCATCTCTGAGGACAGCAAGCGAAAAACCCTAACTAAGCGGAACGCTTTCTCTGAGAACGTCGGTTCTTTCATTCTTCGACGAGAAACTTCATCGATTTAACTCCGACACTCGAGACGCTGTACGAACTAAGGAAATTACTTTGTGACGTACAAAGGTACGCTGCAAGGCATTAAAATAATTGCAAATGCCTTGTAGCATCGATTTTCAAATTGGCGAAATAATTCGCGGCTAATCTTACATGGTTGGAACATGAGATTTCTCTCGAGTATCAATGTTTATGACTACAATAATAATTGCCTGTTTAAATAATCTGACACTTTACTCAGCAATCAACCAGTGGTAATTTTTATGAAACAATTTCCTGACCAGGTATTACCTCTTTTCGGTTAGACCTTCCAGATATGCGAAAGAATAATGGGGTGCACGTAGCTGTTAAGTAAGGTGCGCGTGACGAAAGAAACAGGAAGCTTATCGCGTTAATCTCGCGTTAAAGGGACACGATCGGTGCGAGGAAGAGGGTGACTTCGGAGTTCCGCGTGCTCGTATCGAGCGTACGGGTTCCTCGAAAAGTTAATGCCCGGTCCTAATTACGTAGCGCGGTGACACAAAAAAAGGAGAACAAGAGAAATAACAGAAAGGCGGTGACGAAACCAATGGACGCGCACCTGTCGCAGCATACGGGAAACAGCGAAACAGGTGAAACCCGTACACCTGAGTCTTTCTCACGCGTTAACACTTACCTTCGCCACGACGAACGGTTAAAACAGCTATTATCTTCAGTGAAAAAGAAAAGGAAATAAATAGGTTTTCAAAAAAGAAACACAAACGACGGATAGCTATGTTAGTTAAGAATCTTAATTTACAAGACAATATTTCGTATGATAATCTTTCGTGTATAAAATAACTCGATTGTATGAATTGTATTTCGATAAAGACAATCGAACATACATGTGCCTCCTGCTTCGAGACGAACCGAAATTCATTTTTCAAAAATCCCGCAACGAGATCGTTAGGCAGTGAATGATTTCTCGCTGACTAACCGTGCGTAGCAGGTGGCATCTGCAACTCTGAGTCTACGGGAAAGGGAAGACTGGACGAATGAATGAAATCGTTGATGTGTAGGCACGTCGCCTGACCCAACGTTCAGAATTCGTTGGTCCAAATTAATCGTTGATTCGATTATACGGACCGATTGAATTTCGTTCTCCTTTCGGGATTTACGTACTGCCCTTCTAATAACGATAAAGCACGACGTATATGAATTTCCATTTAACAAAATATAACATATACGTATAGCTACACACGTACATGTATTGTTGACTTAATATAAAAATAATCGACTTGCTTCGACGTGAAGCTCAGTTCTGCGTCTACCCGGCTGTGTGGGTGTCTCCAGGAATTACTGATACGATGAAACGATTAAACGAGAACTGTCAACATGGTCAACAGCGAGAAGAGGGTAGCAGGTTTTCACTTTTAACGGTTCCTCAGGGGGGGTGAGAGCGCGCGTTGCGAAGTGAGGTATAAAAAATGCGGTCATTTGCATACAGGCTGTTGCCATGCCGCGCGCGCGTTCCAACTCGCGTAACACGCACTTTTTCCACGTAGCCGAGTCAGAGTCTACCTGCGCTCCGTCTTTCTCCATGCACCGTCGCGTCGCGTACGTGAACGTGCGAACGCATACACCGTCTCCCTCGTGTGCATGCACGTACGTACGTGCACCCTATGAACGGGTACACACGGTGGTGGCTTGTAAAACGGCACGGGCACCTGCCCATATGGTGAAGCGTACCGTGGCCGTGCTTTCCATCTGGTCTCGTTCAGCACGAGACCTCGGTATCGAACCACCGTCAACGAGACACGATCGCTATCTCTCTGCCGCGCCGCTTATTTCACCCGTCTTGTCCTAATGTATTCTATTCTTTCCGCGACCCTCCCCAGAACGTCCACTCCTCTTTTCTCGAAACGTTACCCCGCCGAAGCTCGCGGCGCCGCGCCGCACCGCTCTACATCACCGTGAGAAACGAACGCCTGCGAATCTCGCGTTCATTCACGATTTCTCGACCTACTCGCGATTTGCGTTTTTCCAACTGAAGTCGGAACTTAATTCGATTTGTTCTACTTTAGCGTTTGAAGCCATTTGAGAACGATCCGAGATGCGTGCACTCGTATTGTTACGTATCTTGAACCGAGGTCTTCGCGAACCTCAAAGAACGAATCGTTCCTATTGACTCCGGTGTTCGAAGGAATTGGGAATGAACCAAATTAAAGAAACGACGTCTGTATCTGGTCTCGTCTCTGGTCTGGTCCGTCTTAACCGGTTGCAAAGTACATTTGTTATGCGCAAGCAGAATAGCTGCTGGGTATTTATATCCGACGATACGTTTTTAAAAAGATTTCACGCAGGCTGAGGTGGTCGGTCGCGCGTTTTAAAAGTAGGGAACCAGTCTTGTCCGGCGACACGCGCGAAACATTTAAAAACGGTTCGCGTGTTCAGGGCAACGAGCGTTTCATAGACTAGACCCGGTAACGGAAAATGGTACGCGGCCCTTCCTGTAATGCTCGATTTTCATACTCACGAATGGATTTCTCGTTTTTCACTGACAGCAGACAGAGACATGCATACACTTCCGTCCATTAGTCTTTGAACGGTTCCAAGTACTCGTCGCCTGCTAAACAATCTGACACTTTAAGCTCAGTCCTAATAATATAGCAATAATCATGTAACAAATCATATGACGAATGTCAATTTTTAATAATTTTAAGGAAAAATGAGTATTCTTTAAACTCGCCAATTTTGTATACTTGTTAGAATTTTTAAGAAACATGAAAATGTGAATCAACTAAATTGTTGAAATTATGAAGAAGTTTTGATCTTCCAAGTTAAAAATTAAATAAAAGTCATATGGTTAGTTTTAGAGAATTGAAATTTGATCTTATAAGACACTTTTATTCAATTATTCATTAAGATATCAGAAATTTCAATTGGTTCATTCATACTCTTATTACAACCGAAAAGGCGCTTTTGGCTCAGGTCCATATGTACTTATTAATATTTAAGAGTTCCAAGTCCAAGCCAAGGAATAATTTCGGGTCGTTTTATTAGGATTCCACAGAATTTCTTCTTTTACGATCTCAGTATCAATAATTCATTTGATTCGTGGCAAAATTGCTAGAGTAATGAAATTGATAATGAAGTGAGACGAGATAATAATCTACTCTATGTAATCTTTAAGTAATAGATATCTGGTACAATGTGTCGCAGTGGAGATTGATTAGAAAGCGAGTAACCTGGTGGGGCTTAAACAAGCGCAGCTGTGTGGTCCCGTTGCCATAATTACTGGTCAACGATAAATCTTGAGCGCGTGTGGCACCGTGCTTAGAAAAGGGGCTCGTATGGTCCACCTGTGGCTCTTATCGTTTCATCTAACGATCTCCGATATAGGTGCTCGCATACTATACTATTTGACTAACCGACAAATGGTCATCGGAAAGAAAATGGCAAGTGTACAAAGAACCCGGCCAGATACGTTAGACTGCCAACATTTTAGGTACAAACGAGGCATGACACTTGGGTAAAGTCTTTTAACCATCTTTTTTTCAGTTCGAAATTTTCTTTAGGAAAATCGTCATTTTCTATTGATGTTACAATCGCGGTGTATGAAAAAATGTTTTCGGTACGACAAGTGGCAAACGACAATATTAAATTGTCAGAATCCCTTTTAAGTTTTCGGGACGGACCCGGTAATATCTGTCGCTTTTATGGGTTGTAAAGTGTCCGCGCAGTTGACAATGCACGCGTTTTGGGATCGCGACCCAAACGTGAAAAAGGGGGAAGGGAACTGGCCCCTTTCCATCGGGTTTTAATCCATTCCGGCGCTCCCTTGCGTCATGCGAACTTCCTTTTTACTTATTTTGCACGTACATACACACCGTGCACGTAGACGCACCGCGCGAAGAACGAGACAGGATCCGAGCGTGAAGAAGGGAACCAAATAAATGGGAGCGACGGTTAAAAAGCTTAACATGCTTGCAAGTATGCGCACCCTTTTTGCCTCTCCGGCTGGCTTAATGTATGCTGTTAAAGCTGTTTTTAACGATTCCGCCGATGGCACCCAAGACTCTCGTCAAGGATGGGAATTAATCGACAAAGAGGTTCCAGTCTTGTTCCTCCCCTTTGCCCACCCTTCTCTTCTTCTGTCCGTCTCCTATCAAACCAAGTAACGCTAAGTAACGCGTGAAACCAGCCAGGTATAAAATTAAATCTGCTACGAGCGAACTCATACGCTTAATCCATTATATTAATTACTGGCCATCGATCAATCTTCTGATAAAAGATACTGTCAAACAGTAATTTCATTTAAATATCAAATCACGAATTCAGATACTGCGGACTAGATAAAATACAATGAAATATCTGCTTTTTATACATCGTCAAGTGCTACAATTTACTTTCCTACATATTACGGATACACTATACGTTCTATTCATATGCTCATATATGTATATGATTCGATCCATACTCGCAGTGACACGGTTATATAACAAAGCACTTCTTTGCCTATTTCATCGAAATCAATAATTGAATGTCTCTGTACGTAAACGAGTATACACGAAACTCGAATGAAATATCGGGAACTTGGAAGATGATTACCTCAAAAAGGGACCTGGAATTTGCGCGATTAATCTGCGTGAAAACCGCGTTTAACGGAGGCATCGCGGAACTTAACCGGGCAGTCACAATGCGATTATTCACAGTTCGGAAAGAAGAAAGAGAGGCGGGCCATTAACGGTCTCGGTCTCGCGGGTAACCCCGAAGGAAACGGAACGGCACGGATCTTGGCACCGACCTCGACCGGACCGGGTGCCTCCCTTCGGAGATCCATGAATCCATTCCGTTCTTGCGAAATAAATCTCGACGGATTCGTTCGGCCCGAGGGGCCGGTCCACGTGCCCTCGCGCTAAGAAAAGATCCGTTAAGAAAGGCAGGCTCAAAGAGCTTGATCAAAGGGAAATCTCACGTTCCATTTCTTAAAAATTATGCGCAACTATTTCCTCGACAATGCAAACATGTTTGTGCATGAACGACTGATAGAATGATTCGAAACTCGAGGGGTGGAAATTTCGTTTTATAAATATCGGCTAAGGTACTTCATTTTTTCTACGGTAATCATTAGATTCTTGCAATCCTGAGTAAAATCTGGTATCGATCGCTATTAGAAGAACGAGGTTGAGATGAGCTATAAAACGAATGGTGACATCACGGAGGGATGAAATCATAGTCGTTGCGGGTAAGCACCGAGTCGCGGAGAAGAGGATATTCGTATTCGGCGGCGAGGAGGTGGAGGGAGGGCAGGTGAGCACTTGGTACCTAATCTCTTTTGAAAAACGTCGCAAACACGCGCGCGCGCGCTACACTACACGCATAACGAGTAGTAGCAGCAATGGGTACGGTAAGTACGAGCTGTGTGTGTAAACCGCGAGCGGTCCCTAAAAATAGTCTATTCATTCGTGGCGAACACCCCCCTTCGTTCGTTCCTTCCTTCCTTCCTTGCTTCTCTTTTTCCGTGCTCTTCGCCTCGGCTCGGCTCGATTCTGGTTTATATCGGATTGACCCCGGGCACACCTTTCGCCGGTGGCGTTTCTCTCGAAATGGTCCCGTGTCTCGTCGAGTACGAGTCTTAGGGGGCGAAGGTGAGCGAGAGAAACAGCGAGAGCGAAACAGGGACGAGCATGACCCGAGAGGGGGATTTCACAAGAGAGCTAGTCGAGGACAATCAAACGCACATTCACGGCTACGATGTGCTCGGGTTTTTCGGCGGCGGCCGACCGAGCGAGAGAGAGAGAAAGAGAGAGAGAGGTCGAAGAATCGGGTGGAGAGACAGAGGAAACGCGTCCCAAAGACAGACTTTGCTCCATTTCGAGCACACCTGTCCCCGGTTCTCCCGGTTTTCTCCTGCCTCGTGTTTCCCATGCCGTTTCCCTCCCTTCGGGATCACCGGCGACCTTCTAGCAACCGATGCTTTTCACCCTTCATTCCCACTTCTACCTCCATCCATGTTCACGGGGGTGGATACGAAGTATTGAAGTGGTAGTCGCGATAAATATTTTCAGGTAATCATTACCGGTTAATGATGCTTGAAATCTGAATGAGCTGCCCCTAGCCAAAAACTCGAGCGACCAGGAAGGGTACGATGGTATCAGACTAGAAAATGCACCGTAGTTCCGACCGCGCACTGGGTCGATCAAAACGAATTGTTCGAAAGCGATCGCAGAGATTTATAAGATGCCAAAGCGAACGAGGTCATTTCAGAGCTAGTAGATCTAGTGTTCCGGGAACTATTGTCAGAGCGCGTATGTATACGGCTGTTATACTCTCGAGACATGTAAAATAACGAAAGAGTACTTTGTCCGGTTGCCATGAAAGACGTCCACCCTCGCAAGAGTAAGAGGCAGCGTATAACCATAACCAAACGAATTAACTCTTGGATGTCTTTCACTTGGCGATCAAAGCGAGTCGGCTCTGACGAGAGTCGGAGGGGGAATGGCTCGGTTGAATGACGGCGGAGGGAGATGGGGCACGAATAAAAACGTAAACGGGGATAACAAAGGAGGAAAAGAAACGCGTTCGGTTAATGGCGAATTGAAATTAAACTGGAAATTTGCAAATTGTAAAGGAAGTCGGGGTACGTTCTCGAGCTCGCGTATGGGTGCGTGCACGTACGAGACGCACGGGGTGAGACGGGACACGGTGGACGCTCGGGACGCACCTCAAAAATAAGCCAGGAACAATGGGAACGAAACGAGTCCTGGCGAACAAACGCCTGGCGATTTAAATGGAGGGATCCTCGAGAAAAGGTTCCTCTCTCTCCTCGAGGTGGACCCACGGGGTCCTACGAACTTCGACAGGAAAGTTTGTATAGGACCCACGACTAGCTTCGCCGGCTCCTTCGTTACGAGTCCTTTTCATCCGTTTTCCCCACCACCCCTCCGTCCGCACCCTCTCCTCTCCTCGTCTTTCCACGTCTCGGTCTCTCTCTCTCTCTCTCTCTCTCTCTCTCTCTCTCTCTCTCTTTCCCCTTACTCTCGCTCTCCTTTTCTATTCTCTGACAAATACGCCACGCGCGCTCACCTTCCTCTTATTCCTCTTTTCCTACCACCTCTTCTTATTAGTCCGTCGTTTTATCGACTCGCGCCAACCGGATCACTCGTCGGAGCCTTAACAATCAGACGGGCTTCTAACATAGCTTTCGAGAGCGCACTTCTAATTGTTCGACGAATTCGACTGCGCCGATTTCCAGAGTCTCTCATAGTTAACCCTCCGCTCGCCTCCCTCCTGATCTCGCGCTTTTATTCGCGGCAATCGAGTTCCCACCCTTTACGAACCTCGTTTCCCGTTTGATCATCTTTCGACTGCGATCGTGTTTCTACGTAGCAGTCTCGATCAAATAGAACCGACTCTTTGAAGGAAAACTATTTTCTCTCGTCTCGAAGGTTACGACAAATCACTGTCACATTTCTTTGGGTTCGACCGGAGCAAAAGTCTACAGTTTTTTCTGCTTCCAATCGGAACTCTGATCGATCGCAGTGAATAAATTGCACGGGACGATTGAGACGTAAAGACTGCTACGGGAATTGACGATAATCGACGTAGGGCGGACGCCTATCGATTGGTGTCATTAGTAATTCAGGGCTGCTTGATATTCGTGCAGTTACTCAAATGCCTGGATCGATTCGACGTCTACCGAAATAATGGCACGCGCGCGAATGATATGTACATACATACGTACACATATATCTACGTTCTCGTGCGGTTAGTTAGAACAAAACCGGTTAACCAGAGTGAATGGCACAGTTTTGCGTAACCGTTGTCTTTCATTTGGCGACTAAACGATGAAAGGGAAATCGCGACACGACATTTATTCTTCGTGCCATTGGATAACGAAGTTTAAACATTTATCGGAATGAAAATTACAGGGAAAAGTCTTGAGATATGTGAAAAGACTTGGTGTTGTGTTGACTTTTTCCGCGAATTCAATAAAAGTTGAATACGTGTATTTAAAGATTGATTGAAACATGGAAGTTCACGAGGAAATGTCCACCGATTGAAAAGTATCAAATCTTTTTCTTTCGGAGTACACTAGCTAGAAATTGTGAAGGACAATCGAATTAAATAATTATTTGTATTAAATATTTAATTAATGCGACAGATGGAGCTTAAATAAGAATACATGAATTTCTTAAATCATTTCCACCGAGCTTTTTACAAACAGAATTTGGCAAAGATGGTTGACGAATAAATAGAATATTGATTCCCGACTCAGATCACAGATAGACACGAATTCATAGAATATTGATTCCCGAAAGAGAACACGGTCAAAAACATCGGACAACGTCTATTCCGAGAGCGTAGACGATCCTTCGCGGATCCGGCACGGGTAGAAAAAGGTCGGTACTCACTTGGTGTCCTTGAGTGGCAGAGTTCGACTGGTACATCCAAAAATCGGCGCCACCGAGTCAATTAATCACTATCTTAAGCACAGAATCTAACGTCGTAGCACATAATAATCCGTTCGCGGTCCGAGAAGGAAACGCGAGGATGGAGAAGAGTTTCCTTCGATGAAAGATCGCGGCACGGGAACACGGAGAGGTGTCGGTACGCGCCACTTGAACGGCTGGTTCTCTACTGACGTGGTGGGGTGGGAACCTGGGCCTTATGTAGGAAAGGGTCCCTACGTGAGGCTACGAAACAGGAGAGGCCAGACCGGCTCTCCTTCTCCTTCTCTCTCTCTCTCTCTCTCGCTCTCGCTTCCTCTGCACTCTGTCTGTTGTACTCTACCTAATGTCCCCGGCTCAACGGAGGTACCGCGACCTGACCACTCTGCTCGCGCCCTAGGTGGACCCTGGATGATCCAAAGAGAGCTGGTGGGTGGTACGAGATCGTCGACCAACGGAATGCTCTTCGGCACCGATAACGAGATGCCAGAGAGAGATTCTCTGGACCTTCGAATCCCGCGCCACTGCTTCACCGATAAAGCTTTCACTGACGCCGTCCGAACAGATACGCTGCCCGGATAAATTTTACAATTATTTGGCTCGAAAAATTAAACACTAATGGATCTGATTAGATCCTAAAGAATTTGACTATGTACACATAAATATTCGATACCTGGTTGCTAAGTCACAGCAACTTTACGGAAGCAAGATGTTCAGTTACACTGTTTTCGTATCTCGAAGGAGAAGGAAAAAACTTTTCTAAAAGCGTTGGTAGTAATCTGTCACTTATCGGACCTAAACAATCTTTGGGGCTACGGTTAGATCTGCTTACAAAGTTTCATGGATCCCCAGGAAATGTGATTTCCAATCGTACGGTTGTTTTCTCTATAGAAAACCGAACCTTTGACCAGGTAGAATCTCTCAGCGACTTTTCTGACCAGAAATCCCGATTCGAAGGCATGCCGCAAATGTTCGTCGACCACAGAATATTTCTCCCCTTCGTGTACCACAAAATTACTCAATCCATCTCGATTATCCTCCAGGAAAAAATGGTCCCTCATTTGAAATAAGACATAATATTAATTGATCGACCAAATCCACGTTCGTAGACTGTGAATTTCATGCATTTATAAGAAAATTGAATGTGCAATGAATATAAACACTCCATTCAATGTTCCACAATGTTTCCATTCATTTACGATTGATACAGCAACGAAGCTTTCTTCGAGCACGTAAAAATATGATTTCGGCCAACGATCATATGTTGCTCGTGATCTTTTCAAGGGGCACGCGACAATCTTCCGGCCGTTGCTTTTTAAAGAGGTTCAACCGTCTCCGTCGGGACGGAATAGAAATCTCGCGGCAAAGGGACCGGATTCTTTTGTTCACTCCCCCGCACGCGCCAAACCAAGACGGAGCACCGAGGGGCCCCAATTACTTGTACGTATCCGACACGAGCTCCTCGATCTCGGACCCTACTTCACGGATCCATCGCACCGCGCCGCGTTGATCCATTCAAGATCTGACAGCTGGTACATCTTTTTCCTGAAAACCGGCTCTTCTCCGGCTTTTCTTTGCGATTTTTTTCGGGAGCCTGCGAATTACCGATAATTTCCAAAACACTACGACAATATTCACGTTCAAACATCACACTCTCAGCTTTGAGTTAGACAGAATAAAACAGGAATGCGAACCAATAATTGTATGATGCTTATTTTTCAGTGTATTTCATTGTCAGTAATATATGACAGAGTTTCCTGAACCTCTCACAATCAACAGAAAATTGTGCATACGCACTAACGATCCGAATGGGTTAAGAACAGGCGAATCATTCACTTCTGTCGGCGGATGATAGTCGAAATGGGAACAAAAGTCGAGAGGAACGTTGCAACGAGGATCGAAACGGTTTCACGAGTTTCGTAGGATGCGGGACAGCTGTGTTACGGCATGCCGTTCGCAGATCTCGTGTTTAGTAGGAAAGAATATCGAACAGGGATTCCGGGTAAATATATATGCGAAGCGTTTCGTTATTGCTGGCGAATTTCGATGCGAACACAAGGCCCCGCATGTCCTCCACTCGTAATTAGAGGCGGCCGCGGCCCCGTGTCGTTCCGCGTGCATTCTTAAACCCTTACGCCGAGGAACAAAGAAATCCGAGACAAGGGCACCCTCTTGACTCGTAATTAAAACCGAGTCAATAACGCGTACCCAAGAATAAATCAACGTGTGTATCTATGTGTGCATGCGCGTAAAACCGGATGCAAATTAATGCATTAAAATGAAACGAAGCGAGCCCTTCGAAAATAGGTCTCCGATATACACTCGTTTACTCTAACAATGAACAATTAAAACATCGTCGCCAGGAACTGACTTCAATTGGATAACATAATCTTGTCGTAAGAAAATATCTATTAGAGTGCCAGATTGCACACTTAACAAAAATGTTATAATACGTTTAGCAATGATAATAAAATTACTAAACGATGTCATTGTTGATCACAGAGGTTACTTTGAAATATTGTTCTAAAACGATGCAATTTTTCCTCCGATCGATCACGAGCACATTAATGGATGAGAAAAGAAAGAAAGGGAGGACATATAACATCCCGTAACGACTTCGTTACTTCGGTTTGACATTAGAAAAGGGGAAAGGATCGGCGTTTATAGAAAATGGTCGTTCCTACCTGGAACGACGCCTTTAGAAAAAACCGCAAAACGACACACGTCCCGACGCGATGTCAGACGAGGCGACGATTCACCCTAGTTTTCCTCGAGCGGGAAACACGTTCAGAGTATACGCAATAGGCAGCAGCATCGCGAAATTAGACCGGGACCGAATTGTTCGGGGTCGCGGGACTGGAAACGATTCAACTAGATTTTTTTCAAGAGTAGGCGAACGGGACCTCGATACCGGGAGGGAGAAAAACTTCTCTATTTTCTCTTCCTCCGTCAATTCCCTCCTTCTCGCTCTACCCGGCGACGCTCCGTTTCTTCTCGCTCGGCTTTATTTATCGACCCATCGCGACGAAACTGTGCTTTTTTTCAATTCCCACGTTCGCCGAGATCGTGTGCGCGCCCATCCGGAAGTCGTCTTCGTTAAACGATATTTCTCTCGTCGCAAAAGTTTTGCAAAATATGTAGCGCACCCTTGTTTGTCCCACTCGCCCCGGAATTCTCAAGGGCCAGATCGATGTACCGTCACAGTTTGGTTTTTATCCCCCGAGATCGAGATTTAATCTGCTTTGATCGCAAGGCGACAGCTTGATCGACACTTCTTTATAAAGAATTTCTCTCTATAAAGCGGGCATAAATTCTCCGGTCATACGTACGATTTAACGCGTCGCGTAAACGAATACTGACCCAATATTTGTCAATTCTGCTTTGTCGTCGAACGGTGTGGTCGGTTTGGAAACGTGGATCCTGGCGGTACGACGGCATTCAAATCACCTGAACCGACGGATAAATCAAGAATAATTAATATCGCAGCTGCTCTACGAAATAAGTAACAAACACGCGAGCGTGGAATAAAATAAGGACAGCTGCGGCACAGAATTATTACGGAGTAGGTACGACGATTATTCGCATCGATCGATAGACAACGAAAGGGTATGTAGAATACGTTGTACCACTGTCTCTCTCGGTAATAAATTTCCACGTTCCTGTATAGACTCGTGTCTATGTAGAGTCAACCGATTCTACCCGTTCGATGCATTCTCTCCGCCAGAGTATAAAATTTTGACACATTCAAGATAATGAAGAAGTAGGATATCATCTTTTTCAATTGATATATTAACAACGTGAATTGATTGAATTCATAATCGACTGAATTAAAATACTTAAATAGGTGTTTTCACTTCCAAATTTAAAAGATGGAATGTTAACACTAGAACTACTGGCGATTGACGCATATCTACTTCTACCGGAGGGAAAGTTTTAGAAAAATGTACTTGAGATGAATAATAATTATAAGAAATGCCAAACAAGTCATTTTTACCCTTTTTGGTAGAAATTGTTCTACGCTGAAGAAGTAAATAAGATTGAAGGTTTATACGTGCTGTTCTTTGCTTGAATAAGTTATTAAATCCTAACTGTTTCTCATGAGAACGTAACCGTCTTTTAGCTCCAAAATGTAAAAGAACCGAGTTTCCTCCGAGTAACCCCTGAAAAATCTTTTCATCCTCGTTAATCGAATGTTTTCACGGTGGCCGATGGCCACTGCCACTCCGTTCCGTTCTCGACTTGATCGTAGCCGGCGAGACTCTCCTTTTACAAGTAGATTTAAGGCGTCACGGGACATTAAGTGTCGTCGCTCGCCACCCTTCGACAACGCGCGAGCCCTGCGAGAGACGAATCTTCAAAGAATCCGTCAGTTCGCTGTCCGTCGTTAGGCAATTATCATAAATTCGCCGGTTCCCGTGGGATAGACGTCATTTCCAAACGGAGAACAAATATTTATCACAGTAATAAACCATCACACTTTCATGTACTGTCGACAAAATAGGAAAAAATATATCTATTTTTTATTTTATGAATGACTTTGATGTGTCATCGATTTGACTCGTAAAACTTGATTTATTGCTTCCTTAAATTATTCACCAGTAACAAAGTAACGGAAAAATATCACAGAATAAATCTGAACGCACCCTCTAGTCGTGAAACAAAAACTGCAGTCGTACTGATTGAACATATTTAGATAAGCAGTCGAACTGAGGGAGGCTAGCGGTATTTGTCCCGATCGAGAGATTAGAATTAGTATTCCGGTGGTACGGAAGTGTTCCTGCTCGTTCTACCCTCTGTTATCGGCGAAATCGATCGTGGCTGGGGGTCGTATGTTACGCTTAGCCTCGTGAAACGTGTCGCGTAATCGCTCGAGAGGCTTTACTTTTCAAAAGAACCTATTAATGTTTCGTGGCGAAGCGACGCGCCGCGTTTTTAAACCCCTTTTCATTGAACAAGTAGCGATCTCTTTATCCACGAATAATGCACAACCCCTACTTCACCATAGCTATAAAAATTCAATCAGGAATCGGAGAGACTTTACAAGATAAATCGTTAAATTGTTCGTCCGTTAAAAGCTAATAAATAATAAAATATATTCAAAAGGCAAACTTCATAATTCTACAGAATTCAGAAAATTAATGTTAATTACTCTGATGTCTTTGAATATTTATACGTAATTGAGATGGAATTTGCTTCCATTAAGAATCTTTGGTATTTCTTATGAAAATTACTAAGGAATTCTTGTTATAACAGTATTAAACTTAAGAAATTATTTAAGAATTCCATTTTACCATCTCGAGATTCGTGGAAGAGACTCGACCGTGGAGTGGAACACGTGCGCGGCACGTCTCTTTGTACGCGAAGTACGTACATCGAAGGAGACGGTTAGCAAACCGATCTCCCATGGGAGAAAGAATCTCATCCGACATTTCCATACACATACGAGGATGCCGCTTCCGTTACGAAAATAAAGCGCCTGTACCACCAGGAAACCAATACCAATACCATTTCAATTAATAGATTAATATCTATTATTTATACTGATTTATATCTGCAGCTTCTATTAAAGCGAACGTAGTATAATCCTGAATAGCATAGGACTTTAAATACTAAATTACATATTTTGATATGCTCATACAATGATTTAAAAATCTGTTTCTGATGAGTAATGGTTCTTCCAGGGAATATTACACCATCGAGCGTTAGGTTCCTCTGACTTTTTAGTAATGCTGCTGAGATATCGGCGCCTATTTGAACCGCGAGACCCGATCGATCGCTCGTCATCGTGTCGCGCCGGTTAGGTCCGCCGATAATGGGGCGTCATATGGTGCAACCGAACGGGATGTTGCGAAATCATTGGGCTTAATTTTTTCGGACAGTAATCGATCGAACGTCAGTGTTCATCGGACAATGGGAGGTCGAATACGGAGTCACCTTTTTCAATGCAACCACTGATTTCCTTTCGTTACGGTGCCCGCACCGAATAAATTGCTCCTCGGTGACTGGTGTCTTTTTCACGGATCACGAAATATAGCTCGGAGCGCGCCGATTGCGATTATTTAAACCCCATGCGGATAAGCGTCCGAGATAAGCGGCGTTCGATCATTCTTATCCCTCTGCGTCGTTGAACTCCAAATTTGCAATTAAACTCAACGACTCCAGGACTTTATTAGATGCTACACTTTGGAAATCTTGCCAATCTTGTACCATTTTGGTTGTCCTTATAATTAATCGGTACGAGAAATCGAGGTCCAATGATAAAACAGGAAAGGAACAGGAATAGTAGGCATAAGACGAGAAGATAGGGACAAAAGTCAAGATCAGTAAAAATGTTTCTCGTCAGGAGTTGGAACTTAGGATGTTTGTCGTTCTAAGGTGTCAATAATGTTGAGTTATTTCCTTATCCAACAGTGTCTCGTTGAAATCGTTGTTTCTCTCACAGCGCGTGATGTACACCAAGAGTTTTGACAGCGACCGGTTCGCAAACTCCATTAGACTTCGTCGTAAAACCCAATTATATCGGAATTTATCTCAAGACTTGCGAGTCTTCTATCCAGCTGCCTCGTAGAGAAGAGGGGCGGCGGATGAGACCGGGAGAAGAATAGGAAAGGTAGAGCACGCGTGATCGGATAATACGATACAACGACGATGAATGAAACGGAACGACAATGACAGGCTTGATTCGAGGACGAGGCCTCATTATCGAGTCTTCCGGATGCTTCGGTACATCGGATCTCCCGCTGGGAGCAGCGACTACTTACTTCCCGACCTGCCCTGAGAAACGTTTTCTTCGCTCGAACCACTTTCCTTCCCCCGGCCGGCCTGTCGATCGCACATCGACCGGACCGATGTTAATGTTTTACCCGTGGACAATGGGCGTGTGTAACAGCCGCGTTGCGACGTTGACGGGATAGAAGCTGCTGATAAGAGAGTGTAATTAGGTAGGCGTAGGCAGAACGGAGCTCGGAGAAAGGGGTACTTCGACTTTTCCATTAGCAGTACGCGCCGTTGTTCCAGTCGTGGTCACCCCCTGCGTTGGCCGAGGTGGTCAACCCCTTGACATACATTACAATGGGCAACGTAATGCAACGTGCAATGGTACTAATGTATAATTCACTCGGAACCGGTGACAAGAGAGGGCGTCGGGAGGAGGGGGTGGAGCGACGGGTAACGGGGTTCACGCTCTGTTAACCGAAGGGGGATGCACGTCAGTTGCCCCCGGCCGTTTCCCTCGCTTCTTCGTCAATCGTTACCTCTTTACATCCTCTAACATTGGCATTTTGTACTTGTACTAATAAATACTTAGTCGACAGAATTGATCATGGCAATATTTACTTGAAATATCTTTTAAAATCTGTATGGATGATAAAATTATGCATGAATGTATCCAATTGACAGGGAGAAAGGGGAGAAAGCTGCGTCTTTTCCATCCGGTCTCGCGGTAACGTTCCCTCTGACTAATTGGCAAGAATGACGCACGACCCTTGTAATTGCTCGAACGAGCCGAAGAAACCGAACCATGATATGTTTCTTCCTCCCGCAGTTCGTGTTCGAGCTTTTCTCGTTACACAAATATTCGTCGTTATCACATTACAACGGAGCTTTGATTAATTGAATAGTACCAGTTTTCCATGTGTATAATAATAAAGAGTGACGATTACTTGTCCACAAATGTTTTATTCTATTTATAAAACTGATTACGTAAATTACGTATAATTATACTATCAGTCTTTTTTTTAATATCTTGCCTTATGCATTAGATAACAAATTTTCCTTTTTATCAGATTATGTTTCGAGATTAATCAAGGTTTTAATATAATGTGGGAAGTACCCTGAAGAATATTTGTTGGAGCGCATTGAATCTATTTCGAGGATTGTCAAGCAACGATCACTGTGCCACGGTGATGAAAACTGCATCTGTGGTTTCGGTAGGAGCCCCGTTCGCGTTACAAAACGTCGGACACTGATCACTCCTGACGCATGCCAAGCTTTCTCTCTCTCCTCCGCGACGATCTCCCCAATCTCCCCATGCGCTGCCGAGATCCTAAAGTCAACGTCGCTTATAATAGAAACCGATCGATCATAGTTTTTTAACTAACATTATGTTTTTCTCTAAATACGATAAATCCTTTCGAATCTAGTCGAGTAAACAAGCTCGAGTCTCAAACTATGATACGTGTCAAATATCATGATGTATCGTGTAATACAAATTATCAACGTTCGATTGCACAGAAACGTCTACGTCGAGTAAAATCCAATACTAAATAATGTAACTACTGTTTCATCAAAGTGAAATACTGTTTGTAACCACTGCTTGACTCTGAATACTCGAATTGATTTCCTGCTTCCCTTTGACTGCGATTTCCCAGTTGATCAGCATCTATTATTTCCCTTTCAATGAGAACGTGGCTCGTTAAACTCATCGCGGAAACTGTTCGCTCGCGAAATCAAACAAAGCTCTGTTCCTGTTGAGAAAGAAGAAAAAACAGGAGAAACAAAGACGGGAGAAGAAAAGACGCTGGTATCAGCGAGAGACACCGGAGGAGTCCTGTCCCAGTGAGAGAAAGAGGATGACAGGGACACAGGCTCTGGTAATAATTTTCCCTGGATCTCTGGGCGAGCGACGTGTACGTGTCACGGCGTCGCGACGCAACCGTCCGTCTCCTCGCGACTGAAACACCAAAACTCAAGCTCCGGCTACACCAAAGTTTCTGGTCATTGAATTAGGACCACGTGCAATAATTTCTATATAAAACGTCAGTGCCGTCTTAAATAGTCCTTGGAGTCATTTTTAAACTATTAAACATCCATGACGATTAACTATAAATATATAGCAATTTATTATTAAAAGCATATACTTATTCTTTTCTCATTAATACGTAGATATTTCATAGTGAGTCAGTAAAAACTATCATTGGAAACAAAAAATTATTTCATCATTTTTTTTCGTGACACTATTGGTAGAATACATTCTTCTAATTTAGTAGATGGAAGAATCACAGTGGGATTCTATAATGAAATCAGTGAAAATATTCTTTCTGATAGAATTCATCAACTCACCCTGTATATTAATCAATAGACATTAGGCTTCTTACTGCAAAAGACTAGAAAACTTAGAATAAAGAATGACTACTATTAAAAAAAGGCTACAAGCTGAACTAATGACCATATTTGAAAATCTTATTGAGTCTGATAGAAAATTTATAGACAAATAAAAGAGCCAGTATGCGCGTATTAAGGATGCACACGAATTTTAGCGTAATAGACGTAGACAGTTTATTTTGAGGTAAATAACTCGGTGCGTAAAGTGAACGCGGAAAGCGGGTGGGCAACGAGGGAACAGCGGACTTGTAGCCGCCGGTTTTATTGGGCCAAACGTACGGTTGACAGCAAGAGTGACTGCGCTCGTAAAAGCTCCGTATAAATAAAATCGCCGGGAATATAATTGTTGCTGAGAGTCGGTCACCCCCTTCGTTCCGCGCCGAGGTATAAAACGCGAATCGGCCAATTGCCACGTTCTCCAACTTTCATTTCGTTTTGTCAGAAATCGGTTGCCTGATTCCCCTCGTGCTTTTGTCCAAATGTAACAAAGGGTTTCAAATTGACTGAGATTAAATTCTTAGCTACGCACGACAACGAAATCTGAGTCAGATGCACCTGGGAAAATATTTGAGCAAGGCTTCATATAATTTAAAAGTTTTCATTAAATTCAATGGAATTTGAATTAATCCTCCTCGGACAATGAAGATTGATGAAAATCATAAAACACATTCACAGAGACGTTTTTAACTTTAATCTGGTGTGAGTATTTGTTGTGTGTGGGGTACGTGCCACATGCAAGGAAACACCCCGCGAGTACGCGAGTAGAAGGATATCGGGGGGTTCGCGTTAAGGCGAAATCGTTACTCGACACCGTTGTGTAACGAGAGCCAAGCCGCGGCGATGAAGAAGACCAATGTTCCGGGACATAAAGAACTGTGGTTAGCCGTGTCCCTGAAAACCGAAACCACCGTGACGCCGGCGCCTCTCTCGTTTCTATCATCTTCTAACTTTGAAAATGGATAAATACATATGTGAATTTCCAATAATCTTGCTTCAAGATACAATCTATACAATATCAGAGATCCTCAAACGAACTTATATAGATATAATAGAAAAGTGACGTATGTTTCAATAATTGACTGATAGTCAGTTGACATTTCTGCTATCGTATTTGTCCTAACGGATCACACAATTTCATCGAAGATGAACGCTTTCTTAAATAATGGAGTAAACGAGATGATGAAATTTGGATAAGTGGTGACTCGTTTTTAACTATGAAGGGCCGAATTGAGAAAAGCAACAGAAGCCGTATCGTTTAGAAACCAATGAGCTAATGAAGGTGGGGCTTGCCGAGGAAATCTCCACCTACTCTTAAACTGCTCTATTTCTCTCTCCTCTCTCGGGTGCGTGTCTCCTTATGTTGAACGAGAAGCACGACGATCGCCCACAGATGAAGAGGGAAAGAGACTGCCGTACGCATACCAAGAGGGAGTTAGGGGGAGGAACGGAGAAGAGAGACAAATGAAAAGACTGAGGAGGATCTTCAAGTACGTCTTAACTCGGCCAAGTCAGTTGGCATCTCGCCGCACAAACTAATACGATGACTTCGTTTCACATTTTCACGAAACGATTATTCGGCCAGATCGATCGACCAGTTGTGATTTACGCGCGAAACGGATAAAATCGGCGAGCTTCCGACGGAGTCGTCTCCTTTTACTGTGAGTGATCATTGTTTACCGCGCGAGGGTGTCCGCGACGGAAGATCGGGAACAGTAAACGAAGACAGTTTTAAAGATAACCAGATTTTGTTTTGCACAGCTCACGGAAACGAATATTCAACGGTGAATCGTTTCGAGAGACCTAGAAGGAATTTCACCGGGGGTCGATTCAAAGGAGCGATAGAATATTCTAAATGCCTTTCCACTTCGCAAAGATTTTCTTTATGGCTCGAGCCATCGGCAATTAATGTCACGAGCTGGTAAAATACACGAGGTTGCGATCGATTTATGGATCTATAAAGAAAGGCATTTATAAGCGAGCCGTGGATAAACAGAAAAGCGAATTTGTTATTTCATCGTTTATCATGAATTGAATTAAAGTAAGCGACGATCTTAGGAATGTAGATTTCGGTTCTTTTTTTTTACTTCCTGATTTTCATGCTGCCAGCATTGAACGCGGAAGGAGTTGAATTTAACCGAACTACCATCGCAACCCCAAACAACTTTTACTTACATCGTCGCCGATGTGCAATGAGAATTCAATGGAAACGATTTGTAATTAAATCTGTATGTTAAGAGGATCATAAACGACTACGAAAAGTGTTAGATCTTATATTCTGACTATACGTATATCGTTCAGTGAAACGTTTACAGTGGCTGTTAAGTTATACATTATAATTTGTTGTTGAAAAGAAACATAGGATGTTTCTGGTGGCGTTGTAAACACGTTGAGCCACGTTCGGATGGCACGTGGCACGAGGAGCTTAATTGCCCCGTCACGCTACACCTCCAGAACGCTTCAATCAAGATTTTCAGAAGCAAATTGCGCGTGAAAAAAACCTGCCAGTGTATCTTCCGCTCGTAAATAAAAAAGACGGGTCCGCACTTGAATAATCATTTTCGTCCCGACGAACGGCTCGTTAATTTCGTTAAACTCGTGAATCGCTTCGTACCAGATGTACAGCAGGAGATGTCGTTTGCCGTTTTATTGAAGATATCCGCATCTTCGAATAATTTTAGAACGATCGACGATTGAAAACTGGTCCTCGACTAAATTGGAACTGCTTACTAAATCGTTTTTCGACTGAGTGCTTCGAGTTGAATTTCACGAAGGAAAGAAGGACAAGAAAATGTTGTGTAGAAACCCAGAGCAAGGGGGGAACAACGGGGTAATAATTTCACAAGTGACGAATCCTCATGCGCCGCAAGATTTCACGGTCTCACGGCTGTTGTCGACACCGACACACTCGTTAGGTAAGAATTCCGAGAATCGATCAATTTGTTACACGCCGAATATTACGTAATACGAAAAGAATCGAGTGAAATATAATTCTTGAAATAATCAGTTTTACTTTTACAATCAAACGTTATATGAAATTCATACGTGTTGTAAACTTAATATTCGAAACGAGTTCATCCGACGGCGACAGACGAGTTAATGCGAATCATATTTTTACCTTCGCCTCGGCGCAGTTTCCGCGCGTTAATTCTCAATTTACGATCGGTTCGATTGCATCGAAATCGCGCGTTTTCAGTCATGTTGTTCGCGTTATGCCGCTTTGATGAGTGCCCAAGCACAGCGGAGTCATTCAAGAATAGCCACGTCTGTGCCGCTTCTCTTCTCTTTGCCCTTTTTCTTTTTTCCAAACCGCTGCTTCTTTATCGCAAGCCGCATCTCAGGATATTTTGCTCGATACTTCGTTTTCTCTCGACGGAGAGAGACGGTACAGCCGACTGTCCGGTCCCTTGCGAGTACAGACGTGTTTTGCATAGAGTGCAACGAGAATTCGACGACACCGACGAGCAGGAGGCCGAGGAGAAGTAGGACAACGTTCTCGGCGCAGCAGTTGGCCGCGTTGGAAAGAGTGTTCGAAAGAACTCATTATCCGGACGCTTTCGTTCGAGAGGAGCTTGCGACGCGAGTGTCTCTATCGGAAGCCAGAGTCCAGGTAACAAACCCATTATCTTCAAGTAAAAAAACCATTTCGGAACTGAACGTTCACGCATGGCAGAGAACTGAAAGCGTTGTATGTAAATGCAGTCAATTTGTGCAACTTAATGTGAGAATCGTTTTGAATACGCAAAGGTTTTGAAACTGCATCAACGAGTCGAGCGATTTATTCATCTCAAGAGTAATATAATTTTGATTGCAATATTTATATTAATTATAATTGAGTAGCTTGGGACGTGCTTGAGAGGCACACATGGATCGTAAAGGGTTAATAACTGAGCAAAATTGTAAACTCGGTAAACGTAAATGTACATAAGTATGAAAAAGAATAAGAAATACGTAACGATGCGAACTACAATAGCTTGACACTCTTCAAACATGTTACATATGAATCGTTTGTTTTCTCCGATGCTTCTACTCGGTGAACAGACTGACTGTAGAAGTGCGTTGGACGAAAAAAGCGAAGAATGAGTTTTAGAGAAAAGTATCGTGTCGCTGGTAGGCCAAAATCACATGTGTTCCTTGGGATCACGGTGACCGGAGTTAGAAGGGAGGCAGGCAGAACAGACAGGCGGACAGGAAGGCGGCGGTAAAGAGAATACAGGCGGGAGTCGAGGAAAAAGAGGGACGGAGGGTGGAGGTCGCGGATAGCTAGGCAGAAAATCAGAGGAGACAGGTTGTCAGGGGCAAGGAGCTATGATTAGCCTGGTAGGATAGTTGCACGGTTCCAGTCGGCATCTGTGGTTGGCATACGCGACGCGTATCTAGCACGTGGGCTCCGCGGAGTGCACACTTTTCGTCGGTTGCCCGCCGCCGCCGCGTCGTCGATCCATCCGCCTGAACGTGACTGTTGCCGTCCCACGTCTCCGCCGTAGATACGTCTGCGAACCCTGCGGACTATACGGCTGCCAGGAGCCGTCACGCTGTCCCGTCAGTCTTCCCTGCCCTCCACTCTTTGCTCGTCTTACCGCGCCGCGGCCCTTCCTCTGTTCCGTTCCCTTGTTCTCTTTTCTCGTCTTTCCTCTCCCAGCCAACAAATTAAAGCTGTTGATTTATGACATGCCTGAATACTTACCCGCGAGACGTCCGAGGTACGCGAATTAATAAACTAATTGAAAATACATAGAGCGAAACTTATTGATTTAAGGCGAGAAAGTCTTTTTAACAAGCGTGGACGTGACATGTTATTCGACTATGAATTCGCAAGTCACTTTTGATTAATACTTGAAAACGTCTTTCCCAGGTATGGTTTCAGAATAGACGAGCCAAGTTCCGTCGCAACGAAAGGAGTTCTGTTATAAATCGAGGCGTCACTCCGTGCAGGGAAGCAGAAACGGCCTTGCCGCTGCGACCCATTAGAATAACGCAACCGCAAGAGAACAACTCGCAGAGTTTACAGAGCTCCCAAGTAGCACAGTACCCGTACGGTGACTATTGGAGATCGTCGCAGCACTACACCTCCGTGCAGAGTGCCACCTGCCATGGTTTTATAAACGGTAATTTGGGAAATGTGAATCTACCCCCGTATCACCAAACAGAGATTCACGGAGGACTCGAAGGATCCGCGATGAACGGTTTAAACGCGCTACGCTTCAGAACGCATCCGTACGGCACCGCGTACTCTACGATGCACGCGAGCATGTAACTTCTTTATTTTCCTCTCCTTATTATCCTTATCTCGTGGTGCTTGACGATTTTATAGGACACTGTACGTATTTATGAAACACCAAAGGTAATTTAATTGTACAACTTTTTACGTAACGAAATAAAATAATGTAATACGAAGGACCAACCGATCGGATGCGAGTTGAAGCAGCGAACGCATACAGGGTAATGGAAATAACTTGAAATGTTATTTTGTAGAACTGAAACAATTGAATAAATGATAAAAATCGTAAATTTATTGTTTCCTTAATATGGAGTATCAATACAGGAAACGTTATGTTACCCTACAAAGTTTTTGTGAATTACGTATGTATACAATATTAATCATAAAAAAGAAGGAAGATGTAAGTACGTATACTGTGGAAGAACGGGTCGTTTACTCGTTGCGGCAAGACAGACACTTATAGTTGTAAAATGAGTACAGTTATTACGGAATTTATACGAACATTGGCACGAAATTAGAATCGAAGTCTCATACATTGGTCACGTGTACGTTAGAAATTCACGCGCCCGACGTGTTAGACACGTGCGATCGTCCTTAAAAAGGACTTGCCGCTAACACGTATACATTCGTTACAACGCTAATCGAACTAGATCCACGTAAAAAGATTCAAAAACATTTTCTTACGTACTAATCAACCGTCAAAAAATTCTTAAACACGAAGATACAGTTTCCGGTATTATACAGTTACTTGTACATTTTGCACGGCGTTGCTCCAGTCCACCTTCGAAGGAACCAGATAAAACGCGGGTGCTATCTTGCTTCCACACGGACACTGACTGCCCGCTATCCAACTGAACGAGCCCAATTTCGTGCCACACTTTGGACAATTCAGTTTCCCCTCGACATTGTGGACGATGTCGGGCATCCAGGCAAGTGGCTCCACGAACAATATCTTCGTGCAAAATTCTCGGGGCTGACGCTCCTCTTTCTGAACAGGTTCCAACGGTTCCTGCGTTGCTTTTGATTGTTTCGACGATTTCTTTGTACTTATATGTCTCCAGATCTGTCTCTCTTTCGGCATGTGCGGTAAAATGTTGCTAGCGCTTGCCACGATCCTACGGCACTTTTTACAACGGTAGACCGTCGGCTCTGGATGCACAGTGACCAGAGCCGGATCTGGTTTTATCAATTCTGCGCAAGTTTGCGGTAAAATCTTCGCTTTTCGCATCTTATCCGCCGCGATCTGCAATCTGTACATCTTGAAGTGTACGTTAGTATTATTTATCCCGCAGCCCATCTCTTCGTACAGTTTCAACTGTGCCAAGAAGCCGGCGTTGGGTCCGACGAAACGTCTCTTCTCCTTCACAGCTTCGAACGCGTCGCGAAAACTTCTTCCATATTTTTTCATTATGTACGCGATAACGATTGCAGCCGACCTCGAGACGCCGAAATAGCAATGTACTAAAATGTTATTGTGCGTTTCTAACGCGTGATCTATGAACTCGTAAGATTCTTCGAAGTGAATTAGAAGATCTTCGCGAGGCATGTCAGTAACTTGTATGTACTTTATAATCAGATTTGGCGAGAATTCTTGAATCTTCCGAGGAAGAGGACAGGAATCTACGGTAAGTATATAATTTATTTTAGTTTCCTTCAGCCACTCAATATCTGTGGCAGCCGTGAGATTTCCGAGGTATAAACCAGGGATGATTTCGTCATAGCTCGTGGGGCCAGCATCAAAATCTTCAGTAGCTTCTTGCGCCATGCTGATTATCCTGGAGTAAAGCTATAGCACATACCTGTTTATTGACAATTGATTTATTCTTTCGTTTCTAATAAAACACACACATGTAAAATAAATCTATATACACCATCTTTGAAGAACTTTGAAATTAACATTTCGATACCGTAACTCAGGTGAAATAACTTGTCTAAGAGTTCTAAACACAGGTTCTCACATAAAAGAACATAAAATTCCTAAAATCCATGCAGGAAGCATACTTCAACAGTATTGATCGTATCGTTCATTACCTTGTTTAAACGTATCTTAATTATAGAAGCTCGATCACGGAATCGATTTTATAAACATTGTTTGTATAATACCAAAAATAAACCTTGGAGGCAACATGCTTTATAAGAAACATTTGATTATTCATTCAGAACACGATATGTTTTGATATTAACATATTTTATGATAACTCCGTGCATTTTTCACGTATTTATTAGATTCTATTAATTTATTGTTGCACATTGTAAGGCAATACAAAAAATCTACAACTTCACATGAGCACAGTAGCATAATAAAACATTCGGTTCGCCTGTCAATGTATGTGAAATATGGTGAAATACTGAGATACCGTGCCGCACCGTGGCGCTTTCGATAACCACAGAACAAAAAGGAAACAGAGAGTACACCAAGATTTAAAAAAATGGGAAACGATATTTCAAACAAATCAATTACAAGATTCATTGAATAGTGATAAAAATAAATAAATAATGTTTTCCTAGAATTTGGTTATCCTTAATTACAGTTAAATGCAGTCGTTCTTTCACATTACGGTTTCTAGCGAGCCACAAGCCACAAGCACGAGTCGACGCACAACATGGCTGCATCGCTGCATAGCCACAACCACGCACAAACAGACGCGTGCAGACGCGTGATAAACAAAAGTTGTTACAACCTGAAACAAATTAAATCGTGTTCTTTGTAGACAAATTCAATTAGAATATTTTCGAGATGAATCCAACGGAACCTACCAGTACAGAAACTTTAAGGTAACGTAAAACATCGTGAAATAAATTTCTTCATAAAATTCTGTTGCGTTACACCGGTCTCAATTAACACAATATTATTTTTATAGTCATTATTACTTAATGAAGCTTTGACATTTAGGATAAAATACACATAGATTTGTCCAGTTTTTATTACGGTAATTTACCTATAGGCTAGGTTAGTAATGATAATGAAAAACTGAAATCTTTTGTTGCATGTTATTACGATATTTCCAGCTCGAAGATGAAAGATGTTATCGATGTATTGGCTATGCAACGAGAAAAGAGGAATACTTTGCAAAAAAGTATTACAATCGATTATATAAAAAGTAACGACAGTTTTACAGTGTCACGGTTCATATTCGAATGTGGTAGGCATTTCATCAGTTTTTATATATTTCACTGAAAATAGGTAAATAAAGATTGACAATAACTTTTTAATAATTATAGGTTTGAAGTTGGAGGCTCAACCATTAACTATTGCTACAGCTGCAATTTTATACCATAGGTTTATGAAAGAATCTGCTCCAGGAGGTTACGATAACTATGTAAATATCTCATTCGTACTAATCACAATTTTTTTTATACGTTTATATCAATAGACATATATATATATATATGTTTTAGTTGCTCGCTGCAACTTGTCTGTATTTAGCGGGGAAAGTGAAAGATGATAATCTAAAGATAAGAGACGTGATGAACGTATCTTATAGCACGTTGCACAGAGGATCGCAACCACTGGAATTAGGTGATCAATACTGGAGCATGAGAGATGCGATTGTACAAGCTGAACTTCTGATAATGCGTATGCTTAAATTCCAAGTGACCCCCGTTCATCCACACAAAGTAAATATTATTAATTTCTGATTTTTTTCGAGACAGTGGGTAAAACGTGTACTAAATAACATAACATTGTTTCAGTACATGCTGCACTATCTAAGATCTCTTCAAGCCTGGTTTGGAGAAGAAGAATGGTCTAAATACCCCGTCGCAAAGACTAGTATGGCACTTCTGCAAGACTTCCATCATTCCCCAGCCATACTCGATTATCCACCAAATTTAATAGCAATCGCTTGCATTAATTTAGCTCTACAGATCTACGGTGTAGTAGTACCGTTAATGGATGAATGCGATCAACAGCCTTGGTTCAATGTAAGAACTTGGAACTTATCGATTGGTACAAATGTTAAATTCCTCGTGATTCGATCTCTTCTTCTTTTAGGTATTTTGTAAGGAATTAACGCGAGATAAATTATGGGAAATAATGGAAAAAGTTATGGCAGCGTACGACGAGGAACCAGAGACGAGAGACAACTGAAGGATTTTAGCGCTTTTACTGACATTGCAATTTAATACAAAACCATCGATCTTCTCATGAAACTTGGTATTGGCAAAGTACAAATATAAGTCAGATCATTGAAACATGATAGTTTTGATTTTCTCTTTTGTATTTTTCTATACCATTGAAATTGTCTTTTAGTTAGAGAATAACATTTAAAATATATATAAAGAGAAAGCGAGCAAACATAAAATCTGTTTTTATATGATCCCTCCTTTTATAGTAATTCTCTAATAAATACTCAGACCTAGACCGTAACAAAGAAACTTTTCTTACACTTACCATAATACATGTATTCAAAGAATGAAGAAAACATGACAATAATTTCAGTAACTGACCATTTTTAGTTGGATTTCAATATTTTCTGAATCCAATAAAAAGTTTTCATTCATAGATGTAGATTCAATACACGTATAGCTAATAGTCTGATTACTATACACATGTGTGCATATTTACGTACAATTATTGATATTTTTGATGAATTTTGAAATAATACACTTATAACTATCATCGCTACGTTTATTATTAGTTTTTGTATGTTTGTGTTATGTATTTATGTACAATTTAGTAAAAAAAAAATCGAGTTATTTATAGTTTCTGGTAGCCATGTTCGAACTGTGACTGTGACATTCAACATGGGCGTTTCTTTTGTCGTCTGCAAAGTGTCAAATGCTTTGCGAACAACAAAAATGTTAAAAATTAGTGATAGATTTTAGCCGTCGAAGGACTTTGAGTAATTGTTTACGTTACTCACGTCAAATGCGCCGGAGTGTAGATCTGATAGATGCCTGTTCGGGAAAATTACGATTGTACTCGGTAATGGCTATGACTCAGTACCGAAGAACATCTTTTCAAGGTACCGCGACTACGTTCAAATAATTCTAGTGAACGAATCGGGGAAATTAAAGTCGATCATTCTTGTAAAATTGTATATATAATGATCTGATCCGAAACGATACGAGACCTGTTTAAATAGACGTTAAAGTCCTGCTGTAAAATGGGAGGGTTATACTGTGTCCAGAAATGAAAGTTGTGCGATGTTAAAGTGTTTTAAATAATAAAATTGTTCAACGCGCGGTCTACACGGTCACAAGTTGTGAAGAAATGAGATATTATTGCTGGGCAAAAAGGAGAATGTATCTGGTATAAGAAAAGTGGGTTGACTTATTTAGTATCGGAATCAGCTGATCTCTTACATTGACAAAGGATCACCAATACAATCGATACGAACGAACAATTTGACTGTTCTGATTCGAAGACAGTGGACATGTGAGAGTTAAGAAAATATATATAAATATCGTATTTTTGAACTTAGTTTCTCGATTACTCGGAAAGGATAAATTAAAAAAATGTCAGCAAACAATTCGATCATAGCAGCCACCGCAGCTACGCTTAGAAGTGGTAATCTACAGAATCGCAATTCTCAAAGATCTACGCTTCTGAAAGTGGTAATTTTGGGTGACGGTGGTGTTGGCAAATCCTGCCTCATGAACAGATTCGTGTCGAATCACTTTGACGAACATAGTTTTCATACGATCGGAGTAGAATTCTTAAACAAGGATATCGAAATTAATGGAGAAGCGTACACATTGCAAATCTGGGATACGGCTGGACAAGAAAGATTCAAGACTCTCAGAACACCTTTTTACAGAGGCTCAGACATTTGCTTATTAACTTATGCCGTGGACGACAGAACGAGCTTTAAAAATTTAGCACTGTGGAGATCTGAATTTCTTTATTACGCCGATGTTCAAGAAGGGTCGTCGTTTCCGTTCATTGTAGTTGGGAACAAAGTAAGTCGGGATGGGAGGATATGGAAACACGACACAGTACTAATATGAAATGTTTTTTACAGTTGGACGTTCCAAGTTCTGAGAAGCAAGTTTCTACGGAAGAAGCTCAAGCTTGGTGTGCAGAAAATGGTGATCCCCCGCTTGTAGAAACGTCGGCAAAAGATGCGACCAACGTCGAACAAGCTTTCGGTGCAGCCGTAGCTGCTTGGGCACAACTCGAAGCTAGGCTAGAGAGACCAATAGTAGAAGATACTGTCGACCTTTCTAAACAACAATCTCCTCATCGTTCAAGTTGTTGTATGCCTGTGTCTGGTGCTGAGTAGGTTACAAAGATATAAGATATTAAATATTTTTGTTTCTACAACGTAATGCATGAAATATTCTTCTAAAAGACTCTCAGTAATGATCTGATCGAGACGTGCGATAAGGCCGTAAACAAATCATTTTTGTAACGCATAGCTGGCATTTTTGGGATGAACTGTTAAAATTCATTTGTACTACGTTACAAATTATGCCAACACTCACAAGTGATCATTATTATATTTAGGATAGATAAGGGCGTTATATAAGTATATAAATTTTATTCCCTTTCTCTTGACCTGAACAATATACTTGTTTCTTTTTTATCATACGAATTAACACAGAACCATTGGCAACATGATTACAAAAAAGTTTACCTACATAATTACGTACTGAGTCGATAGGAATATTAGTTTCATTAGTATAGTAACAGGTTTGCTTGTAACGTACTTTTTCTTCTAGGTCTAACAAAATTATTTGAAGACATTTCTTGCCTGTCCACAATAGTTTCTTCGTGACAAGGTGAAGTTCAATGTTAAAAGTAGTTTTTCGTCTATGTTCGTTTTTAAATGATGCAAATTTTGTGTGTTTCTTTCTGTTGCCAATGAACTATAGTTACATTTTTATAAACGGGACTCGGATTTTGTTCGTTTTCTTGTCTGTTCAGTTTCGTTGAAATTAGAAAATTCACGTTATTCGTGAGAGGAGAGAATAATGTTGTATGATTGATATTTCCAGAATACAGCTATAAAGTGTAAGGTCAAATTGAACGTCCTACTCGTATCACGCTTTGTGCAGCTCACGAGCTACAAACAGTATTTTAAGTGTTTCATACACCATTGGCTTGTGATAAAATAATAAGAGTAATAATCATTCTCATCAACTGCTTTATGAATAAGGAACAAACATATAAAATGTAATTTAGCTTTTTAATCTAAATTTGCCTTATCTTTGCAGCACAAACTAAGGGCAGTGGCAGTAACATATATTTATCATAAAAAAATTCTCGAAAGCATCTTATATATATATATATATATATATATATATATATATATATATGTATACTATAAATATTATATATATATAGATAGGTAGATAGATAGACAATGAAATATCTACACTATAGAGCGTACTCTGCTGCTCTTGGAATGCCCTGCAGTCGGTGTTTAAAGATTTTCCTACAAAATGAATAATATTATATATAAACACATGAAACAAAGCTTTTTGTACAATCTTGTACGTATAAAAATGTATGAACGCATTTCTAAAGCACTGTAACTTATTAAAAGCTACCTAACACTTTAGCAATGCTTTACATACAAGGAATAATAAATAGTGAAATATGACATGACACCATTGTAATATAAAATTATTTTCAACGATGAAGCTCGCATTAATTATATAAATGTGACATGCATGCTGGTGCTTTCTGTATAGCTACACGTGGAATATATCCTCGGTTCGGTTTGGTGCAAAACTACGTATAAAGTTTAATCATATCAAAGTGAAAGCATTTCAAGCAGTTATCGTATATTTAATCAATTCTGTATGAATCGAACGTTTCGCATCGTCATTCCCACACGAATGTCGTAAATAAGTCTATGAAACTCATCATTGTATAATACATCTGTAATATTTTATTGTCTTGTATTTGTCGAAATGATGATGATCAAGACTCTCATGGTATGTCTTAAATATTAATTTATCTCTACGGTTTATAAATTTTATAACATTGAAAATTGATTTTGCTACGAAAACGAAAAAAATAAAGGTACTTTGTGCTTATTTAAAAATGATCAAATATATTGGTATAACGTCCTTCTTGTATTTCATATTTCTGCTTTTCTATTTCTTATATTTTACAAATAAACGTAATTTTTATAGATTAACGTCCTTAATAATACAATTATAGATAACCGTTATATTATAGTACATCATCGTGTATGTAATAAAAATTTAAGGCAGCAGCGCATATTTTTTTCCAAACATTAAGCGAATAATAAATAATCACAAAGTTACAAAAAAATTTTTAAGTGTCGCGCGTTAAAGTTTGGAGACAAATA